CGCGCGCGCGCGCGTGGGGGGGTCTTGTTCTGTGTGAAAACGAAGCAGTACAAGTGATAATGCTGCAGGATTTCATAATTGTATCTTCTCAGCAGCAGCACTGCAGGTGCTCTCCATGCCCAACATGTGTGTAAGCCAGGTCCTTAGTCAACTTAAAGTTGTGCACATTTTTCCGCTAAGTTTGTTGCAAGCTCTCGCATGCCAGAAACAATGGAGGTAATAAACGAAGTCATAAGGAGCGCAAAGATAAGCGAGAGCCTGCTACTGCGAGTGGAATCAGGCAGGTGATAAGGAGGAGTGGTCCAACTGAAAAAGAAGTAGCACAGGATGCAGGACAGAAGAAGGCCAACTGAAGAGACATCTCAGGATGTGAAAGTCCTCCGTGGGGGAGTTTTGGACTTTGGGTGGACCTGAAACCAGCTTACAGATATAACGACCATATGGGTTTGGCTGTCTTGTGTTTGACTGAGATATGTAACTGACAAATGATCACATTGTTTGGCTGTCTCGTGACTGGTTGAGATATTGCTTCACTATGGAAAATGTTTTACTTGGCAGTTTTTAGAATGATATATAAAGGGCAGTTAGAAGTAGTTAGAGAGAGTCACAGTTAGAGTTGACACAAGTTGACGAAGTAGCAGCGACAGTTGCAGGAAGAGAGAGCAGTTATTCTCAGGGAGATTTTTAGAAGCAGCATCCTCCTGAGGGGATTAGTTAATCTTAGATTTACTCTTTTTGTTTTTTTTTTATTTTGAAATAAACTTTTTGGAAAAAGAATCCTCGTTCTCGATTCTTAATGGTCTCTTTTAGCCTTTGAGTGGGAGCCCTGACCAGATCTGATAGCAGAGGTGAGCCACCTTAAACTGCTTGTTCCTGTGCTTCAGGACTTGTTTCAGGTTGTGACAGATTAAGAAAAGACACCTTAGGTAATGGGAACTAGTCTCTCCTCCTCCCTCGTGCAGCGGGACATCCTAAGGGTTATAAACCATAATGGTTAGCTGGTTCAAACAGGCTCTGTTCTGCACGTGTGAAAAAGTCTCTGTTTAGCGTGGGAAGGAACCACTTCAAAGGGTGGGTTAATTAGATTAATTGATAAATCCATGTTAGCCTGACCAACTAACAGGAATCATTTTCTAGTTACCATCGCCCACATATGCTGACAGAGGCGCAAATTAATCCTGATAGGACCCAAATAATAGTTGGCTGGTTGGCCTCCAGTAAAACTTTCCCCTCAGTATTTAGAACCACTGAATAACAGGAAATTAAAGGGAAAGTGTGTTGTCACAAAAGAACAAGTACGGCAATCTCCATTCCACCTTAAAATAGAAAGCGAGTTCTAATTAGGGAGTCCAAACCAGGGTCTGTACAATAAAACTCACCTGCGGCCTCATTACTCTGAAAAAGCAGCGTATTCTAAGGTTCTAACGGAACCACTAAGGTGCACGCTCGCTACAAGTTTTCTTTCATAAATCCCAAAGTTTGTGTGGAAAGTTGCTTACGCAGTTTTCTTACCCTGTTTTGTGCATAAGCAAGCTTAATAAATGAGGCTTTTGATCCTCAGGCCACCAAAACAGCTCCCCTCAACACCTTGGCTGTGCCTAGAAATGCCATCCATAAAAGTTATGAACAGAATCGTTGAAAAAGGGCAGCCTTGGTGGAGTCCAACTCTCACTGGGAACGAGCCCGACTTACTGCTGGCACTGTGGACCAAAACCATATTTCTAATTTGAAAAATGTTTCCATACCGAGAAGGTTGGTATCAAAACATGAACTTGAGACTATTCTGCATGCAGTGGCGGTTTTACCATTAGGCATAGGTCGGAGGCCGCCTGGGGCCCCCTTGTGTTGGGGGGGGGGCACCTGGCCCTGACCACTGGCACCCCTCTTTTAATGCCACAATGGACTATTCCTTTAAGACAGAGATGCACAAACAGGAAGTGATTGGTAGTCATTCCACTCCAAATTGTTGTTTGCCAAGTGCCATAAGACCACAAATAATAATAATAAGAAAATATCATTTCTATAGCGCCTCTCAAGAAAAAAATCACGAGGCGCTTCACAAAAACAAAAAAAAAGTTAAAATAAAAAAAGAATTCAGAAAATGGTTAAAAATATATTTAAAATGAGCAAAAATAGACAATTGTGATTAAAAAATGCAAAGAAAGAGAGAGAGGGAAATCAGTGGATCCTGAGGAAGGTGGAATAGGTGGGGAGAGCAGAATAAAGAGAGGTTGGTGAAGAAGGTCATACAAAAGCCAGCTTGAACAAGTGAGTCTTCAGCTGTGTAGAAGAAGAAGAGAAAGCAGAAAAAGAAGAAGAGAGGCGGGAGCGTTCATAACAAACTCGAAGCGGTAGTCAAAACATTCAGCATGAAATGGAGTTATCCTTGTGGCTCCAATAAGAGAAAGAAGCAGATTGCTTTAAAAAAACTTTTATTTTCACGTCCAAAAGTGACGTCGTTTTTCAATGTTAACATCAAAAGGAAGCAGAAAGGAAAGACAATGGAAAATGTTGAAAAAGAGGAAAACATGGACTAAAATGGAAAATAGAAAAAAAAAACAAAGGCAAAAGCACAGGAGCACTGACAAGAAGAAGAAAGCAGAGCAAATATTGAAGGCACTCAAAGGGAGGGAAAGACAGGAAAAAAGAGAAGGACTAATAAAAAGGGAAAATAACTCGTGTCAGAAGAGGGGAGAGTTTCACAAATCCAGTTAAAGGTAAGATTGTCGAAAATTTAGTGTAAGGGGCCCCATGTCTGTGTTCGCCTTGGGCCCCCAAATGTCTAAATCCGCCCCTGTCTGCATACATCATTTCCTCCCATCTTGATTATTGTTACACATTTTAACACTTATCCTTTTGGTCAGGTTTGAAGTTAGATTTTATTTTTTTTTTGTCTGTGAAAGGTACTTTATAAATAAACACTACTTATTAACTAATCATTTGCCAACAACCATCATATTAATGAGGAGTCCAATATCTAAAATATATCAACTTTAGCTGCCATGGCGTGGAAGTCATAGCACTGCATACATTCTTTTTTCAAGGCCCCTGTTTCTATCGTAGAGTTTTTGCGCCAAACTTAAATTTGGTTTGAACTTTGTAAAACATGACAGAAAGCCCAGACATTATCCCACCCCTCCTCTTGGAAACAGTGTCTTTGACAGATGATGCCACTTCAAACATCTTAGGTGTGTTCTTGCTGTGTCGTGGTTCTAATTCCATGCTTTAGTTCTTTTTAAACACAGAAACAGTTTTGTTTACCTGTTTTGTAGCTACAGTTTCGCCGACGGCTGCCGGCTTCTTCAGGCTGACGCGTCACTGATCGTGGCGCGTCACTTCCTTCTCGCAGATAAATGGAGAAGGAAGTGACGCGCCACCATCAGCGTCAGCCTGAAGAAGCCGGCAGCCGTCGGCGAAACTGTAGCTACAAAACAGGTAAACAAAACTGTTTCTGTGTTTAAAAAGAACAAAAGCATGGAATTTGATGCCACTTCATTTCAGTCTTACCTTGTTGCTGAAACATTTCTCGGTATCAAAGTCAGCGCTGTGAGCAATCACATTCTTGCTGGGGAGGACTGCATATGCCACAATCTGGACATTTGGTGCCATGTCTGGAGACACTGTCAACTTAAAGGACATCTCCCCCTGATTTACTGAAAAAGCAGTACATCGTTTATGCATGTCAGTCATAATTCTAAAACATTTCCATAATCCTCTATTATCTCTAAATGTCTTTTTGAAGTGTTTGGGTTTAAAATTGGCAAAGAGAACAAACCTGATTTATCTTCCACTTGGACCTGTTTTCGTCCTTGAAAAACAATCGCTCCTCTGGACAAAACCTGTGGACATTTTAGAAAAACGGAAACTTCTGTATTCAATCTCATTTTCTTTGTGTTTTCAGGGAAGGATCAATCCATTCACTGGACCCACTTTCTTCTGTACAAGTATGCGTGTGTGTGGGAATGAGGCTCATGCATGTCAAGTGTGTATCGGTGCATGTGTAGGGTAAGATGACTTCTTCAGGCTGAGTCTGGCTGAACCTAATGCAAAGATTCAGCAACGAGGCTTTTGCCATTGTAGCACAGAAAATTTAGTCCTATGATTATAGAGCTCCGGACCCCACGTGACTCTCAGTTAGTAGACGCCGTATTGGCAGGAAAAAAAGGTAAACAAACACGGATTGTAAACATGAACATGAACGGGATCGGCTTGGATTTGACTTTGTCGGAGTTTACTTCACACTTTAAAACTGAAGAAATCATTATATATAGTCAGAAATTAAATAGACTAAACACCTCCGACCCTTACCGTGCCCCTGAGATACTTTTTAAAAACGCCAGAAACTGTCGGAGCGGACTTCTTACCGGACCTGGCGGGGGAACCCCTTGGGATTCCCCCGGAGGAGCTGGCCCAAGTGGCTGGGGAGGGGGAAGTCTGGGCCTCTCGACTTAGGCTACTGCCCCCGTAACCCGACTCCGGATAAGCGGATGAACATGGATGGATGGATGGACAAATAACAGATTTACATGTAAGTAGTTTAAATAGAGTGCTGTGCTGTTTGAATGTATAAACTGAACACCAAGAGAAATCACTAGTCTGATTGTATTCCGTGAATAAAATAAAAATGTCGGGCAGGAGCGTCTCAGGATCTGTCTGAGATCTGACTCGGTGAGACAGATAACAGCAATCCAAAGTGCTTTTTATGTGTGATCTGACAATTGATCAACCATTGCTTAAAAATTAAATACAGCTTAGCCGGTTAATTGCTGTGATCATAAGACACGTAAACGGCAGCACGCAGAACTCACGAGGCAACGTTTTACAGATTTCAGATTCAGATTTATTGGCCAAGTAAAAGTACATTTACAAGGAATTTGTCTTCGGTAGATGTTACGTGATGTTTACTTGTATGGCGCGGTATGGGGGCCAAAATTAAGACTACTGCCCAGCAGCAGGAGGCTATATAAATTCTGAAGCAAACTACCGACCTAATTAATGATAAGCTAGTGCCAGTAACTGAGAGGCTGGTGCTGCTTACTGAGGAATAGCACCTTTACCGGCATTACTACTAGATACGCTAGGGACTAGCATCCCTCGGCTGGTCATTGACTGGTTCACACACTCCCTCTGCTGTCTATTAGCATGGATAGGCTAGCGTTAGCCTGGACGGGCTGGTGTTAGCATTGGAGAGGCTAGCCATTAGCGCGCCTAGGCTGGCCTCTAGATGGATTTCCTACCCTCTTGATGGATCATTAGTATGGATAGGCTGGTGTTAGCATCGGAGAGGCTAGCCATTAGCGTGCCTAGGCTGGCCACTAGCTGGATTTCCTACCCCCTCGATGGACCTTTAGCATGGATAGGCTGGCATTAGCTTCGGAGAGGCTAGCCATTAGCATGTCTCGGAGAGTCACTTAATCTATTAGATGTGGGTTTTTTTTTTTGTAAATTTTATATTTTTTTAATAAAGATAACATCACAATTTAAATAATTATTAACCTGTAATTCAATACAAAGGATTTAAAATCCAAAGATGAAAAATACTGACTAGTTAGCTCTGGCTTTTTCTCTGATATGTGCAAGAAAACCAAACTATATAAAAAGAAAACGCCATCAACCTGTAATTAGGAGCAAAATGGAGTTAGCACAGCACATAATCAATGCTAACAGGCTGTCGGCTTTACAATATGCTTAAAGTTAATGTGTATAACAACGCGTTCTGTCAAAGGAACAACTGTGATTGCAGGTCTCATAGTATGTCATCCGTTTAATAAAAGTAAAAAAATAAATAAACGCATCCAGTAGAGTAAGTGACTCTCCGAGACATGCTAATGACTAGCCGCTCCGATGCTAATGCCAGCCTATCCATGCTAATGGTCCGTCAAGGGGGTAAGAAATCTAGCTAGTGGCCAGCCTAGGCATGCTAATGGCTAGCCTCTCCGATGCTAATGCCAGCCTATCCATGCTAATGGTCCGTCAAGGGGGTAGGAAATCCAGCTAGTGGCCAGCCTAGGCATGCTAATGGATAGCCTCACCAATGCTAACACCAGCCCGTCCAGGCTAACGCTAGCCTATCCATGCTAATAGACAGCAGAGGGAGTGTGTGAACCAGTCAATGACCATCCGAGGGCTGCTAGTCCCTAGCGTATCTAGTAATAACGCCAGTAAAGGTGCTATTCCTCAGTAAGCAGCACCAGCCTCTCAGTTACCGGCGCCAGCTTATCATTAATCAGGTCAGTAGTTTGCTTCAGAATTTATATAGCCTCCTGCTGCTGGGCAGTAGTCTTAATTTTGGCCCCCATACCACGCCATAATTTAAGCCCGGTCACTAATGCGTTTTATTACAATGATCCAACGTTTGCGGCGTTCCGGATTTTGGGGAATCCTGTAGATGGCTCATTCCTTATGTCGTCCGCGTCTGTTCTGTATCCTGGGGCACAACAGGAATCTACCATATTTCCCGTTTGATTGAGTTTTCTGACAATAACAAGTAGTCCAGCTGCCGGTGTCGGTACAGGATCTGCTCGGGTGCAAGATCGGCTCGGGGTCCTTCGACTGCTGATGACGTCAATGTACGGCAAACCCACTCGGACAAAATACACTACACATCTATACTGTTGGAAAGAATTTAGCAGTTTCGTTATTAAAATAATGTTTCTTAAGACGTACGTTTGTGTTTATAATGGTATTTGTAAAATAAAACACTATATTGTATTCATAATGTTGAACTCCTCTTTGAGCACATCCCTTGAAGGATCATAGGTATTAGCAACACCTGTGGAATTGTATTTGCAGGAAAGAAGTGTGTCCCGTTTATTGAAGTATTTTGTGTTTAGAGTTTTTGACGTCTTGTCCATGCGTAGTTCAGTTACGCTCATAGCTGCTAGCCAAAACTCTTGCACATGCAGTTAATCGTTCAGCCCTAATATACATGCAGCTCTACGCTAAAAGTGTATTTTCAAAGAGGTAATGATGGATTTTTTTTGTAAAAATTGTCCATCTTTCCAACAGAAAGATTTGCCTGGACCACCGTAATGTGATAACAACGTAATGTGATTACGTAATTCCGTAAGGTTCATGTTCAGCCAAACAACTACTTTGACGTCATCGGCAGTCGACGGACCCCGAGCCGATCTTGCACCCGAGCAGATCTGGTACCGACACCGGCGTCTGCTTGCAAATTTGGCACCGTTTCGATTTGAACTGTTGCATGCCGGGAGAAGTGACGTCAACTCCCAGAGCTCTATGAGGTCACTCAATCGATCTGTTTAAATCTGGCCTAAAACCCCACCTCACTATCACTTTTGGTACTTCATTCTATGGACAGGACTCTAGCATGATGGATTGGTTTTTGTGTTCCAAAGGGTTCAAATGAAGGCAACTGGACTTATTTGGTTCTTGAAGATGTTTCACTTCTCATCCGAGGAGCTTTGTCAGTTCTAAGTGGAACATGGGAGTGTCAAGTTTATAAACTATAGCTGTCTGTTGTTGTTTAACAAGCAGAAACTACTCTGAGTACCCCTCCTCTCCATCCCCTGATGAGTCGTTAGCCTCTATTGAGAGGGAGTCGTGTTGATTAGATGCAGGAAGGCGTGACCTAGACTGAAACTGCTTAGGAATAAGATTAAAGCTGCATCATTGGTACTGGAAAGGTGAAATCTAAGCCCCTCCCCTATTTAAAGTGGGGGTTTCACGTTTTGACATAGATAGCTTCTTTTACTCCTCTCTCAAACCATCCATCTTCTCTGTCCAGAATGTGGACTTTGTCATCTTCAAAGGTGTGTCCCTTGTCCTTCAGGTGAAGGTGGACTGCAGAGTTTTGACCTGAAGAGGCGGCTCTCCTGTGTTGTGTTATGTTCTTGTGTACTTGTTGTTTAGTTTCTCTAATGTAAACATCTGAACAGTCCTCCTACACTGGACTGCATAAACGACCCCACTGAGCTTCTGTTTGGGTGTTTTGTCTTCTGGATGGACCAGGTTCTGTCTGAGGGTGTTGTTGGTTTAAAGTTTACCGGGATGTTGTGTTTGGAGAAGATTCTTCTAAGTTTCTCTGAGACTCCTGCCACGTATGTGATGATGGTGCCTTTGGGCCTGTTGTCCTTTTCTTTGCTGGTTGCTGCTTTGGATGCTTTTCCAGACTTCTTTGTAGATTTCACAAAGGCCAGTTAGGGTATCTGCAGTTCTGGAGAGCTTTCTTCATGTGTTTTTTTTCTTTTGTTTTCCTTCAGTCTTCGTGGAAATGTTCTCGGCCCGATGGTGTAAAGTCCTGATCACTGACATTCTGTGCTCCAGTCCAGTGGGTGATGTGAGTCCAAATGCAGATACTGGTCTGCGTGAGTTGGTTTCCTGTAGACTTCAATGCTGAGACTTCCATCTTGTTCAAGTTGCACAACACAGTCTAGTTGGTTGTTGTGGGCGTCTTCCCTCAGATGAGGCGCGAAATGTCTTCAAGAAACCAAAGAAGCCCAGTTGCCTTCAGTTGAAACCTTTTGATTACCATGACCTGGATGACTGAGAACCTTCACCAGCAGACTGGTTTTATGGTTTAATTGTCTCTTGGGGTTTTTAACATTTTAGTCATATGATGCTGTTTTTAGGATTTAGTTTTTATCATGTTTTTATATCTATTATTTCGTCTTCCTCTGTGTTATTTTTCTTTGTAATCTTACCCCTTGACTCGTCTGTTTTTATCTTTGCCTCCTTTTCTTATTGTCCAGCACTTTGATCAGCTCTCATGCTGTTGATGCCATTTAAAAAAAACTGGATTTGAATTTGAAACACCTCTACCACATTAGGGAGGGGATTTCACAGATGAAGGGAGTGTGGAGTTTGTTGGATAGGCTTGAGTATAAAGGAAGTCCATGGGAACACCGGGAAGCCTGTTTGGTTAGAAAGAGGTTTTGAAACTATTTCTACTCAGGAAACATCTGGTCTGGTCTTGTGGCTGATCATCACTTCCTGCGGTAAGGCGTTTTGCATCACTTCCTGTTTTCAGTGTTGAGCTCCGTGTAGCTGTTTGGTGTTTGTGGCCCACTAAAAATGATCAGATTTCTCTGTACTGGGACATTTCTGAGTTATTGTAGCACATAAGCACACTAAAACACACACTTTCTGTTGTTCCACCTAGCTTTTAGGGAACCATTTGAGTTCACACACAGTTTATTTTGTGTTGAACCAGTTGCTCGTCCAGTTAGCTTAGCCTCAGCACGGCTATGGCTACTTCTGTCTCTGCTTCTCCGTCTCCTATCTCTTGCTCTCTGTGTCAGATGTTTAGTTACTCCTCTGCCTCCTTTAGTGATAATGGTACGTGTAATAAATGTAGCATTTTTTGTAGCTTCGAAGGCGAGGGTTTTGAATGGCCAGCTCTGCGCTGTTGAAACGCCCGCTGATAGCTTGCGCGGGGCTAACTAGATCAGAATGACCTTGTAGCAGTCCTCCAGTAGAACCTGAGCAGCCGGCGTCTCAGGCGAGCTGGGTGATGGTACAGCAAGGGTACAGGGGTGGGGTGGGGGGATTTGGAAGACAGTAGGTGTGAGCAGAAGCGCTCGTCAAAAATTCTCGCCTGAAGTGAACAGAGGAGCAGCGGACAGCGCGCAAATTTCATGAGCGATCTGCTTTGCGGTGCTTCGCAGCAGGTGTGTTCCAGGCGTTAGACTGCCCACAATAAAAGGCCACCCTGAAAATGTGCAGTCTGATCAAACAGCACAATGCTGCAGATGTCGCAACCTTTCAGGGAGTATGCAATTGAGATACTGACTGCAGGAATGTCTACCAGAGCTGTTGTCCGTGAAATGAATGTTCATTTCTCTACCACAAGCCGTCTCCAAAGGTGTTTCAGAGAATTTGGCAGTACATCCAACCAGCCCCACAACCTGTCTTTGCCTTTTCGTGTGGCCAGGGCTACCTCTTTATTACTGATTCAGTTCTTTACCATTCTGGACAAAATTTATAGGTACAGTAATGGCGTGGAGAATGTTGAGATGGGTGACAAGAGGATCTTGCTTCTATTTTTTGAACATGATGTGGTCTCCTTAGCTGTATCAAACTGTGACTTTATACTCTTGCTTGGCAGTTCTACTTCATTAGAGAGGGATTTAAAGGTGAATCCCTATGTATTTACTTCAAAATAGGTTTATCCCAAGAAACTGAGCATGGCTAAACTGAATAATCAAAGGCTCAATTTAAATTACTTTTTCTAAAAAACGTAAAGTAATAAATGTTTTTGCATTCATTGTCTTTGTAGGCATGCTACTCACCAGAAACATAATATCCACAGAATCCTGTGGTTCTTGTACAAATGAATATTTGATAAGTATGTCCTCTTCTTTGTCACATGAAAGTGGTGAATCTCTCTTCTTCAGCTTCAGGGAGCTTATAGATTTGGTGTCAGGAGAAGGAGGTTGGGAGAGCGACACTGTGTGAGACCCCATCTCATAGAAGGCTGTTCTATATGAAGAATAACCAACACTTGGGGATTTGCTGACCTGTGAAGAAACAGTTCAAAGTTTACTAATTGTTTAATTGTATCTTCTTTTAAACAGTTGCAGTAAACATGGACATATTTTGATCCTCTATATTGGATGAATGAAAGAGTAAGTGGATGGTCTAAAGTCAGGCTACATGTAATTATACTGGAACTGTGCTTTACTTACATAGAGGGTAGCGTCTCCACTGAATGCGTCTGTGCTAATAGAAAAGCTGGCAAATCCATCGTTGTCAGTTGTAAGATTTTGCAGCAGCAAATGTGTCGACCAAGTTTTTCTAATAAGCAGGTACAGTGGCATGTGAGGAATGGGTGTGTCATTGTGGTGAACAGCTTTTACCTGTTGAAGACACGATGAATCAGTGAAACTGTAAAAGACTGGACCTGCTTTGTCTTTCAGGTGTCCAAATGTCCACTCACTTTTCCTTCCAAATTTGATCCTAGTTCATAAATCTTGGGCGTGTCAACAAAAGACAGTTTTCCAAGAACATACGAAATCCTTATGCTCTTCTTTTGTTGATGTGAAACACCTGAATGAAAGTGTTACCATGTTATCAAACCAATGACCTTGTTTTTTATCAGGGATAGTCCCCCACCACAACCCCTTTACCACAAAAATGCAATATACAGATATCGTAATATAGGACTTACCGGTATCCTCTTCTTCTACACTGGCACTGACTTCAACTTTATCTTGCACTACCTTTTGGTCAAGTTTGGTGAAAGTTGACATTTTGAATTGAAAAGCCGCACAGCCAGCTTTGTCTGTCTAGAAAGTCAAACAACAGATATAAATCAGTGAGACAGCCTAAGCTGTTACTTACATCCTTTTGGTTCAATAAATCAACTGAAACTAGTTTTTTTTTGTACAGAAACAAAAATGAATGACTGACTGAATGAATGAATTTGTTTATTCATTCAATTGATAGGCACACAAACTGGAAACACCCATAAAAGGCTTTAGATTGGGGGGGGGGGGGGGGGGGGGGGGGGGTCTATATTTGTATTGCACCTTCTTAGAGTTCTGCAGCCCCCCAAGGCGCTTTACAACACAATCAGCCATCCACTCATTCACACACAAATTCACACACTGGTGGTGATGAGCCACGATGTAGCCACAGCTGCCCTGGGGTGCTCTGGCAGAGGCGAGCCTTCCAAGCACCAGTCCCACCGACCACCACCAGCAAGCAAGGTGGGTTGAGTGTGTTGCCCAAGGGCACAACAGCAGCATTCTGTGGTCAGAGCCGGGATCGAACCGTTATTAAACGATGTTCTTTTTGCTTTGGACATGAAGGTGTTTCTAGTTACCTTGTACCTTCTGAGGAAGACCGCAGACGACAGTAAAAGGTAACTAGAAACACCTTCATCAAATCAAATTTATTCATGAAGCGCTTTTCATCTAAATGCAGCTCAAAGCGCTTCACAACATTAAACACAACCAGACAGCAGTGGGTTTCCCAACCCTCCCACACAGATTCACATAAGAGATCCCCTTTGCTTCTCCCTCCTCCCACCCTCAATCCCATCCCAAGCAGATGCAAACTTACGCACGCACGCACACACACGCGCACACACGTGCACAAACACACACGCACACACACACACTGAACTACCTTCTTTGTCTGTGTGTCACATGGGTCGGTTACCCCGAGTTCTTCTGCATTCCTAGGTTGCCCATACGCACTGTAGTACTGAAGAGGTCGACACACCTTCACTGTAACACTTCCTGGCACAGACTGTCCATATGTGTACCTGGTTATATTAGAAGTAACAGGTGACTCATTTTACTCCACAAAGTAAAATATTCTTTATCATTTCAGTTACGTCAGAAAAGAACATGAACTCACTTTGCACAGATGTCTGCATCTATCTCATCCTCAGAAACACTTACTTCATCTTTTACATTTATCGTTACATCAAATTTGGGCAAAACTGAAAACAGAAGAGTAGGTTACCTTAGAGATGAGATTAGAAATGTGCAGCTTTAGCTTACGAAGGTGGTTAACATACCATACTTCTCCACCTTGAAGGAGTGAGATACTTGAGCTCCACCTGTTGACGTGATGAGTTTGTAGGATCCTTCTCGGGCCTCAGAGTTCAACGAGTAAGAAAGCTGCAATATTTTGCTGTTGGATGTTTCATTGAGCCACTGCCCAATCCTGTTTCCGTAAGGATCCTGTTCAGTTGGACACACACAGTAGAATATCAGGCATAGATGACACTGAAGAGTGGTGGAAAGAGTTACGTTGGGAGCTTGATCTTTCGTTTCTTCACCTTTAGTAAAATGTTACATTCATTTAGACTCTTTAATGCTAAACGTTCATAGTTTAAACTCAACCATAAAGAGTTTCTGTCTAAGCAAACTTGGATGCGGGCCTTTGTGCAAACAACAGCCCACTGAGAGTCAGGGATGGCTCAAATACAGAGAAATTATTTACCCAAGGGGATCAACAACGTATTGACTAATAACTAATACTAGTAGTTGTTGTTTTCATGAATATTTCCTTCTACTCTACAGTTTAGCATCTCACCATAATACAAATGTCAAACACAACATGCATTAGTAGGGCCAAGGGCATCGGGCTGCTTAAGAAATAACACACTGAACAAAAATGTTTGTGTTTTCTTACCTCAAGTTCGATTAGGTTGTACTGTGAAGGAGAAAAAGAAATAATAAGTATGTGACAGTTACTGAATGTATCATTACAGTGGTAGAGAAACAGAAACTGTTCTTGTGATTTCAAAAACGATGTTTTAGTGGTTGGAGTCATGACATCAGTTCTCAGTATTTAGTAGAAGCACCTTTTGAGCTAATGCAGCCACGAGTCTTCTTGGTAAAGATGCAACATGTTTCTTACACCTGGTTTTGGGGAACCTCTGCCATTCCTCCTAGCAGATCCTCTCCAGTTCTTTATGGATGGATGGATTCATTCATTCATTCATTCATTCATTCATTCATTCATTCATTCGTTTATTCATTTATTTATGGGAACCTCTGCCATTCCTCCTAGCAGATCCTCTCCAGTTCTTTATGGATGGATGGATGGATGGATTCATTCATTCATTCATTCATTCATTCATTCGTTTATTCATTTATTTATGGGAACCTCTGCCATTCCTCCTTGCAGATCCTCTCCATTTCTTTCAGGATGGATTGATGGATGGATGGATGGATGGATTCATTCATTCATTCATTCATTCATTCGTTTATTCATTTATTCATTTATTTATGGGAACCTCTGCCATTCCTCCTTGCAGATCCTCTCCAATTCTTTCAGAATGGATGGATGGATGGATTTATTCATTCATTCATTCATTCATTCATTCATTCATTCGTTTATTCATTTATCTATGGGAACCTCTGCCATTCCTCCTTGCAGATCCTCTCCAGTTCTTTCAGAATGGATGGATGGATGGATTTATTCATTCATTCATTTATTCATTCATTCATTCATTCATTCATTTATTCATTCATTCATTCATTTATTCGTTTATTCGTTTATTCATTTATTTATGGGAACCTCTGCCATTCCTCCTTGCAGATCCTCTCCAGTTCTTTCAGGATGGATGGATGGATGGATTCATTCATTCATTCATTCATTCATTCATTCATTTATTCGTTTATTAATTTATTTATGGGGACCTCTGCCATTCCTCCTTGCAGATCCTCTCCAGTTCTTTCAGGGTGGATGGTGAACGTTGGTGGACGACCATCTTTAGGTCTCTTAAAGATGTTCACTGGGGTTTAAGTCAGGGCTCTGGCTGGGCCATTCAAGAACAGTGTCAGAGTTGCCGTGAAGCCACTCCTTTGTTACTTTAGCTGTGTGCTTAGGGTCGTTGTCATGTTGGAAGGTAAACCTTCAGCCCAGTCTGAGGTCCTGAGCACTCTGGAGAAGGTTCTTGTCCAGGATGTCCCTGTACTTGGCCGCGTTCATTGTTCCCTCGATTGCAACCAGTCGTCCTGTCCCTGCAGCTGAAATGCACCCCACAGCATGATGCTGCCACCGCCATGCTTCATTGTGGGGACCGTATTGGACAAGTGATGAGCAGTGCCTGGATTTCTCCACGCACTTCTCTTAGAATTAGGGCCAAAAAGTTCCATCTTGGTCTCATCAGACCAGAGAATCTCATTTCTCTCCATCTCAGGGTCCTTCAGGTTAGGGTTAGGGTTAGCAGGCTTTCGTGTGTCTTTCACTGAGGAGAGGCTTCCGATGGGCCACTCTGCCATAAAGCCCTGACTGGTGGAGGGCTGCAGTGATGGTGGACTTTCTACAACTTTCTCCTATCTCCTGACTGCATCTCTGGAGCTCAGCCGCGGTGATCTTAGGGTTTTTTCTTACCCTCTCTCACCAAGGCTCTTCTCCACCTGTAGCTCAGTCTGGCCGGACGGCCTACTCAAGGAGGGGTTCTGCTCGTCCCAAACATCTTCCATTTAAGGATTATGGAGGCCACTGTGCTCTTAGGGACCTTTAGTGCAGCAGAGATGTTTTTGTAACCTTGGTCAGGTCTGTGCCTCGCCACAATTCTGTCTCTGAGCTCCTCAGGCAGTTCCTTTGACCTCGTGATTCTCACCTGCTCTGACATGCATTGTGAGCTGTAAGGTCTTCTACAGACAGGTGTGTGGCTGTGCTAATCAGGTCCAGTCAGTAGAATCTATCACAGCTGGACTCCAGTGAAGGTGTAGGACCATCTTAAGGATGACCAGAAGAAATGGAAATCACCTGAATTAAATATATGTGTTACAGCAAAGGGTCTGAATACTTAGGACCATGTGATATTTCACTTTGTCTTTTAATAACTCCGCAGAAATTTCCAAAATTCTTTTTTTCCATCAATGAGGAAAAATGAATTTTTTTGATTTTAGCAAAGCGCTGAAATGTGATGTAGAGTGAAAAATTCACGGAGGGCTGAATACTTTCTGTACCCACTACGTTCCCATGATCTAACATTATAACAGCTGACAGAAATGACTCAGACCTCTGATCAAACACAATTACAACCAAGCATGTCATTCTAATAAACCCAAATGTGTTTAATATAAGCACATTGGTCACAATTGTAAATGACTAAAGAAAACAACCAAATACTCACCAACTGATTAGCAGGTCTCAGCTGGGAATCCAGTGTGACCAATCTGAAATGCACTGAGAGAAATATTCAGAGTTCATTAGCTGATAAAAATGACTTAGACCTCTCAGACACTGGATTACTAACACACATGATGTCATGATACAAGAGCCTATGGTCTGCAAACATCAACAGTTTGGCCAGCACTACTTCCTGAACGCCAAAGCTCATTAATACCTGTCTGTCCAGGGAGGTAGATGGGTTTATCTGTTTGGATGAAGGTTTTTGGTTTATAGTCGTTAATCATGACTTTCCTTACTTCTCTGGAGTAAAACGTGTTTCCCCGTACCACTACCTCAATGTCCCAAATGTCTTCTTTTTCTACAGAAGGAATCTGTACAAGAAATGAATGGCTGTGATTGGAAGACCACACTTCAACTGCTCGGCGTTTCTAACTTAGATTTCAGAGGTATTGTTGTAAAAGGAGAAATAGGTCAAAGACCATTTGGATAGATAACCTGACACTGAAGGCAGTCATGAAACTCTGTGCTGGAAGTCTTTTCACAAAGAGTCGTGTTCCTCTCTTGGGACCTCAGAGTGACAGTCAGGACTAAAGTCTCATTGGGCTGAAAGAGGCTCACGCAGAACTTGGTCTCAGCTCCAGCTTCAAGGACTGCTGGAAAGGCCACCATGTAATGTCTACAAACAGTCATACATGCAGCAGGTAGATCAGTGGGCTGGCCTCCCATTAACAGTAATAAACAGGCCAATGTTCATTTTACACCTAAAACAAACTGTTAAACTTTTCAGTTTATGTAAACTTACGGTTCTGGCACCAGCTGACCAACACACATCCCACAAAAAAGGACATACAGTGTCCATGTCCACGTCTGTTTCCCAGGAAGACCCATGGCTGACTGTAATGATCCTCACAGTAAACATCTGTTAAATAGGCTGCAGATAGCTTAAGCTCCACCCAGTTTTGCAGCTCAATACAACACACACACACACACACGCACGCACACACACACACACACACACACACACACGCACGCACGCACACACACACACACACACACACACAATTTCATTCTATTTCAAGGAGCCTCTTAAGTAAGGCATGTACAAGTAATAATGGGTTGAATAATCTTGGGAAGGTTGTCAGGTCATGGTAATCCAAAGGGGTTCGAACGAAGGCTTTTTGGTTTCTTAAAGAGGTTTTGCTTCTCATCCAAAGATGTGCTGAAACTACCCATGAATAAGTCTGCGCTCTGCGCCACAGACGCATTCTCTCTAAAGTGAGCAAAAGGCCCATCACTGCCCTGAAGCATGCCGCTCATACAGCATCGCCAGCCCTCGTCAGCTCAGAAAAGAGGACAGAAAAAAAGAGAAGTTTTTTGACAACATGTATGTTCCTGCAATGACTGACAGCACGCAGCACCTGACCAACCGGTGGTCAGACGTGGAAGAGATGGCATCCAGACAGAAATATAAATAAGGAGCAAGCAAGGCAAGGCAGCTTTCAAACACAGAGGCAATTCAGTGTGCTTTACAATTATCAGAACATGATATGAAAACATAAAAACAAATGAAAATACACATAGAAAACAGTTTAAAGCTAAAGGAGAAGACAAAGTTACAGCGCAGATTACAGATTACAGATTACAGCGGAGATGATGCAGCATAAGAAGCCATGTAAAGGCTGATGAGTACATGAGGGTTTTAGTTTAGCGCTAAACAACACTAGGGCTGGGACCAGTGTTGGGAACGTTACTTTTAAAAAGTAATTAGTTATAGTTACTGATTACTTTGTCAAAAAAGTAACTCAGTTACTTACCGAGTTACGAGATTATAAAAGTAACTGATTACCAAGAAAAATAACTACTTAGTTACTTTTTTCATTAAAGAATGCAAGAAAAATGGGTTCCCCTCTTAATTAAACTTACTTAATCTGGCTTGGGCCCGGCCTCTGGCTCTGCTGACTCGAGCAGGTTCACAGCTGTCGGACGGCTGCCCGAACAGCCCGACAGAAACTTCTGTAAAGCCCCCCCACTGTCTCTTCTTTTGTTCCTCTTCATTTATTTATTTATTTTTTTTACGTTTTGCCGCACCCGAAAGCATCGTGAAAGTTAGCCTACTCAAAAACACCTGCTAGCTTTGTTGTGTCCCGCTCTGACTCTGACCGCTTCTCTGACGTCCTTAATTGGGTGGCGCCTTAATGTGACGTAGCCAATGAAACGGTCTATGGTTGAGATAAACGTCACTATTTTTAGTTAATTAATAAATATTGAAATAAATTGTAGATAGGAGTCCTATCTATAAATTATATCATAGGACATTTGTACATTTAATTTTTAATTTATTTATTTTTAATTTTGTTCCTCTGTCTGGGCCCCATCCAGCCAATCAGGCCCTAGGCACGTTTCTACTTTGCCTTTGCATTAATCCGGCTCTGTAAATGCTCATATATTATTGCTTTTCACTGGTAAAAATGTGTACTGGGAATAAATCTACCTACTTTTTTCTTTTCAAGCACTTTGTTTTGTTTTCTTGATTTTATTTTGAATAATTTCCGGCCCTTTCTCTCTCTGACCTTCCTGCAAGCTGCATGTTTTCTCCGTCTTCTAGAAAAACTGTTTCCTAGATTTCCTACTTTCCAACTAATCAGCCAAAGGGATCTACCGAACGCAAAACAATAATAAAAAAAGCTTAATATGTGCTGCTCTCCAGCAGTAATGAGCTGAAATCACCGGGGCACAGATTATGAACTCAGCTGAAAAGTACATGAAGTACCAGAGAATATGAGCTGATATAAACGATCGCAAACGAATTACTTTGTTTTGGTGGAGCGATTTTGTGAATATAACAGCGGCCGCGCGCAGGACGCAGCTGGAGTACTTGAGCCATCATCGCTGCGTCCTCTCTGCTCATAGAATGCCCGCAAAGCTGAGTCCATAAATGACGTCATATATGTGGATACTGGATCTTTTTTCAGGCTTCCCGCAATTTGAATTTTTAGGAAACCCACATCTTGATTCTGGGTTTAAAAATGCGTTGTAATTACCGCGTTACTGACAATTGTACCGAGTAAATATTACCATTTTCTTGTGATGCCTTACATTACCACATTACAGCAAAAAGCAATGCATTACAGTAATTAATTACTTTTGTACCTCCAACTGTGTGTTAATAATAAGGTTTTGTTGCGCCACCTTGACAATGTATCGTGCGCTGGAGCAGCGGGCGCACCAACGATCAGCACTCTGCATCCTCTCCGCTCAACAACACAGGTAAACAAAACTGCTCTGTGTTTTAAAAAAGAACTCCAGCATGGAATTAGAGATACGACACAGCAAGAACACACCTAAGATGTTCAAAGCCCCCAATCCCCCAGGCACAGCCCAGATCCCCGTCTGGGGATGACCGCCCGAATATCTCAAGCTACCAGGCCCTCAACCAGACCCAACCAGGGACAATAAAGCTATCAGGCAGCTCCCTGTGACCCACAGACCCCCCCCCCCCAATGTCACCCAAGCACCACCAGGATGGGGTATCAGCCCCTAGCACCAAACCCCCAGTGAACCCACTCCTAGGTGAACCCACCTCTGGATGCTCCAACTCAGACTCTCCCCCACATCATCCTGCAGGTGTCATGTTCTGCGGGTGGAGGTGGCAGACCATGTGTGGTGGTGGGTTCCAAGAGGCAGAAGAGCAGGCAAAGTTTATGATCCTCCATCATCACTTTGTGATGGAATCGATCAAATTAGCCCAAAGAGATTGGTTTGATGTGGAGGCAGAGGCTGTTTCAAGTGTATTACAAAATATGAGGCTGTTTCAAGTGTATTACAAAATATGTATATACTTGTTAAGGCAAAGATCATTTTTATTTTTCTAGTTTATGAGGAATAGCGTTCTTTGCGATGTATCTGGCAGTCAGAACCACATGAACCAAATGGGTTTCCATCAGGGCATCATCCAGGTTTCCCAGCAAACAACGTGAGGGGGAAGTTGGGATATTACATTTCAGACACTTTGACAGGTCTTCACTTACTCTACCCCAGAATCCCTGAACAGTTGGACAAGATCACAGTGCGTGGATCTAATGGTCAGGACTGTTGTCTGTGCAGTGTGTACAAGTGTAAGACAGCGCAAACCCCATCCTGAGCATCCGATGACCTATGCATAATGTACTGTGTGCAGATATTTGTATTGTGCTTACATCTAACAGCCAATAGGAGGCACTGCGAGGCTGGTAGAACACCTCGCTGCAATTTCAGAGGTCACCACAGTCACGTGGCTGGAAAGTACAAAGTGGTGGCGGACTGCCTTTCCCGTGCATTTGTCTCTCCGATTTCCGTGGGTATTGACTTCGCTGCAATGGCGGAAGACCAGTTAAGTGTCACAGACAGAAAACGGCCTCGAATGACCATTTGCTCAACAGATACCTTGCTGTGTGCACCAGATTTTCACTGGGTTTTCTGCCTCGTGAGCCGCTGAGGGAATATCTACCCGGTATGATATTTTCCACGTCACAGGGGGTAAAATCTCCTCGTGTACGTGAGCTGCCGGCAGAGCAGAAATATTCTAGCAGGATATTCTGAAGCAGGAACAGTAAAGATGCAGAAACTGCTGTTGTTAAAAGAAATGTGTGTTAGCTTTGAAAATGTGGGCGCAATTTTAATTACTTGTGTCCCCCCCCCCCCCCCCCCCACCCCCCCCCCCCACCCCCACCCCACCCCGCATGTTCCGGCATCTGCTTTACCTTTAGTGAACCTTGGTTCGACATCAGTATTTGCGTTCCGGGAATGTTTCATTTACGAATTAAGCGCTGCTTTTGACTGTTTGCAGACAGTCCTTAGCTGGGAGCTTACTGTTTGTATGTTCATGAGTTGACTCTTTGCAACAGTTTTTAAAAGCCAACACGGGGCAGAAGAGCTCAGCGTTGGAATGACTAAATATGTGAACGAAACCTACCTTGGGTCATTCTTGATTCCTCCCACACTAAATAAATAAAACTCGTCTCTTGTTGACTGAAGATAGGAAGCTCGTAGCCATAGCAGGCCTCAAATGGGGGAATAGCGGTGGCTGAAGAGACATGGAAGTTATGGGAAAGCTCTGCCCAGAGCAGATAGCGGGGTCAGTGGGAAATCTTGGGGGAAACAAAGCACCTGAGGTAGTGTCCCAGCTGTGGATTGGCCCTTTCTGTCTGCTCATTGATCCTTGAATGGTACCCAAAGGAGAAACTGGTATAGGACCCCACCAGTATGCAGAAGTCACCTGTGCAGCAGCCCATCAGGCTCTGCAGAAGCTTTTTAATTACCTGCTGATTGAAATCAGGTGTGTTGGAACAGAGTTAAAGTTAAAACCTGCTGAAAAATGGCCCTGTCATGGTCTGCATCTGCCCCCTCCTTTATGTGCCTCCTGGTGTCCTCCATCCCTCTCTAGATTCCCTCTTGTGTCCCTTTGTTCCCCAGCTCCTCTTGTGCTCCACTCCAGGTTCTCCCCTTGTGCTCTCTTAGTGCCCTCATGTGTCCTTGTCTGCATCCCTGTTATGTGTCTTATGTTGTAGCTCTTTGGCGCCCTCATGTGTCCTTTTCTGCGTGTCAGTTTAGTGTCTTATGTTTGTAGTCCTTTAAGTCTATTCCTCCCAGGTCTTGTGTCATCTCATTCATCCCCAGGTCCTCCAGGTCTCATTTACATTCTGTGTCCTTGTAGTCCCCAGCTTCTTTGTCCCCAGCTCAACGTGTGTGTGAGATTCAGTCTCCTGCTCAGTGTTTGTGTGTGTGTGTGTGTGTGTGTGTGTGTGTGTGTGTGTGTGTGTGTGTGTGTGTGTGTGCTTGTCCATTCCCCTTTCCTGTTTATATATAAGTACATTGGTGTGTGTGTGTGTGTGTGTGTGTGTGTGTGTGTGTGTGTGTGTGTGTGTGTGTGTGTGTTAGTCCTTCCTGCAGCCTTTAGGTTTAGTTTTGGTGTCTTAGTTTCTTAGGGTTATTTGGCCCTCTGTTTCTGTTTCCCATTTTGATCATTAGGTTCACCTGTCTTCCCTCCAGCTCTCACTTCACACACCTGCTGCCATTTTCCCTGATTGCTCCTCCCAGTGTATTTAAGCCCTGTCTGTCTCTGTGTTCTTGTCGGTCCATTAATGTTTGTGTGATTCTGTCAGTTTCGTCCCTCTGTGTTTAAACTAGAGTATCTTGATCCTCAGATAATATCTGCTTTTTGACCTTTGGATTTTTGGCCTTTTGGATTTTGACTTACAGTTTGGATTAACCTTGGTTTTTGGCTCACCCCACAAATAAAGACTTTTTACTTAAAATCTTCATCCCTGCCTCCGTGTCATCCTGGGTACTGCATTTTGGGTCCACACCATCGTATCGTGACAGAATGGACCGACCAGAACAGGACCCAGCAGGAACTCCAGGTACACAGGAGATGTTCTATTATGACGGTGATCCAGACCTTTGTATGGGTTTCATTCGGGACTGTGCCCGTTGTTTGGACTTGGAATCTTCAGAGTTCAACAAGGTTTCGTATATGGTGCTCTGGTTGAGGGGTAAAGCCATGCGGTGGGTTGCTGACCGTTTCGACATAGAGGATCTTAAGGCTGTGTCTTTTTTGGGACTTTGCTGCATTGCTCCTCCGCACTTTTGGCCGAGATCCTCCTCCACCAGTCGCTGATGCCACCTTAGCATCTCAGATGGGTCACACCGCCACACCCTCACCAGGTCCTGACAGGGCCACCACTTCCTCTCCGATGTGTCACACCGCCACACCCTCACCTGATCCGGACTGCATCAACTCCCCATCTCAGACCATCAGAACCGGATTCATTTCAATCTCTCCTATGCATGTTGATGCCACCTCAGTTTCTCAGATGGAGTACACCACCACACCCTCACCAGGTTCTGACAGCGCCACCACTTCATCTCCGGTGGGCTGTATCACTTCCTCCGCACCTGTTGAAGTCACCCCCGCACCTCCTAGGAGTCGTGCTCATCGTAGACGACAACGCCATCACCAGCACTCTCCTGAGGCCAGAGTGGTGCCGCCTATCTCAGAGGCCCCTACTCGGAGACCTGCGTCTGAGTCACACCTCGCCTCAGCGGTGATCCAAGGGGACGCATCGCACCTCGCCTCAGCGGTGGTCCAAGGGGACGCATCGCACCTCGCCTCAGCGGTGGTCCAAGGGGACGCATCGCACCTCGCCTCAGCGGTGGTCCAGGTGGACGCATCGCACCTCGCCTCAGCGGTGGTCCAGGTGGACGCATCGCATCTCGCCTCAGCGGTGGTCCAGGTGGACGCATCGCACCTCGCCTCAGCGGTGGTACAGAAGCGGACGCCACCCGGCTCGAGCCCCGAAGCAGACGTGCCCGGCTCGAGCCCCGAAGCAGACGTACCCGGCTCGAGCCCCGAAGCAGACGTACCCGGCTCGAGCCCCGAAGCAGACGTACCCGGCTCGAGCCCCGAAGCAGACGCTCCCACGTCCCCGGGCCCCGAAGCAGACGCTCCCACGTCCCCGGGCCCCGAAGCAGACGCTCCCACGTCCCCGGGCCCCGAAGCAGACGCTCCCACGTCCCTGGGCCCCGAAGCAGACGTCGCTCCCTCCGGCTCTGAAGCAGACGGCGCTCCCACGTCCCCGGGCCCCGAAGCAGACGTCGCTCCCTCCGGCTCTGAAGCAGACGGCGCTCCCACGTCCCCGGGCCCCGAAGCAGACGTCGCCTCCTCCGGCTCTGAAGCAGACGTCGCCTCCTCCGGCTCTGAAGCAGACGTCGCCCCCTCCGGCTCTGAAGCAGACGCGCCCGGCTCTGAAGCCGACGTCGCCCGGCTCTGAAGCCGACGTCGCCCCCTCCGGCTCTGAAGCAGACTCGCCCGGCTCTGAACTCGACGTCGCTCCGTTCCCAGAAGCCTCAAGAGTTCCAGTCACCACAAGTTCCCCAGTCTCTGGCCTTCCAGTCACCACAAGTTCCCCAGTCTCTGGCCTTCCAGTCACCACAAGTTCCCCAGTCTCTGGCCTTCCAGTCACCACAAGTTCCCCAGTCTCTGGCCTTCCAGTCACCACAAGTTCCCCCGTCTCTGGCCTTCCAGTCACCACAAGTTCCCCCGTCTCTGGCCTTCCAGTCACCACAAGTTCCCCCGTCTCTGGCCTTCCAGTCACCACAAGTTCCCCCATCTCTGGCCTTCCAGTCACCACAAGTTCCCCCGTCTCTGGCCTTCCAGTCACCACAAGTTCCCCCGTCTCTGGCCTTCCAGTCTCCACAAGTTCCCCCGTCTCTGGCCTTCCAGTCTCCCCAAGTCTCTCAGTTTCAAGCCTTCCAGTCTCCCCGGGCTCCGGAGTTCCTTCCTCGTCATCCTCCTCTAAGACCCCTTTTCCCCGTCACCGGCCCCCTGGGCATCTTTGGTCCCGCCTCCTGATTCCCTGTCGCCGGCCCCCTAGGCTTCCCTCGTCCCGCCTCCTGATTCCCCGTCGCCGGCCCCCTAGGCTTCCCTCGTCCCGCCTCCGGTTTCCCCGTCGCCGGCCTCCCAGGGTCTCCTGTTCCCTCCTCGCCTGCCCCTTTTTGGGTTGTGTTTTGTTTGCTCCCTCCTCTCCCTCCCTCTGGTTGTTTCGTGTCTTGTTTTTGCCTTGTCTTTTGCTTGTGGTGTTTGTCTGTCTTGTGGTCGTCTGGTATCCGCCCTTGGAGGGGGGGGGGGGTACTGTCATGGCCTGCATCTGCCCCCTCCTTTATGTGCCTCCTGGTGTCCTCCATCCCTCTCTAGATTCCCTCTTGTGTCCCTTTGTTCCCCAGCTCCTCTTGTGCTCCACTCCAGGTTCTCCCCTTGTGCTCTCTTAGTGCCCTCATGTGTCCTTGTCTGCATCCCTGTTATGTGTCTTATGTTGTAGCTCTTTGGCGCCCTCATGTGTCCTTTTCTGCGTGTCAGTTTAGTGTCTTATGTTTGTAGTCCTTTAAGTCTATTCCTCCCAGGTCTTGTGTCATCTCATTCATCCCCAGGTCCTCCAGGTCTCATTTACATTCTGTGTCCTTGTAGTCCCCAGCTTCTTTGTCCCCAGCTCAACGTGTGTGTGAGATTCAGTCTCCTGCTCAGTGTGTGTGTGTGTGTGTGTGTGTGTGTGTGTGTGTGTGTGTGTGTGTGTGTGTGTGTGTGTGTGTGTGTGTGTGTGTGTGTGTGTGTGTGTGTGTGTGTGTGTGTGTGTGTGTCCATTCCCCTTTCCTGTTTATATATAAGTACATTGGTGTGTGTGTGTGTGTGTGTGTGTGTGTGTGTGTGTGTGTGTGTGTGTGTTAGTCCTTCCTGCAGCCTTTAGTTTTGGTGTCTTAGTTTCTTAGGGTTATTTGGCCCTCTGTTTCTGTTTCCCATTTTGATTATTAGGTTCACCTGTCTTCCCTCCAGCTCTCACTTCACACACCTGCTGCCATTTTCCCTGATTGCTCCTCCCAGTGTATTTAAGCCCTGTCTGTCTCTGTGTTCTTGTCGGTCCATTAATGTTTGTGTGATTCTGTCAGTTTCGTCCCTCTGTGTTTAAACTAGAGTATCTTGATCCTCAGATAATATCTGCTTTTTGACCTTTGGATTTTTGGCCTTTTGGATTTTGACTTACAGTTTGGATTAACCTTGGTTTTTGGCTCACCCCACAAATAAAGACTTTTTACTTAAAATCTTCATCCCTGCCTCCGTGTCATCCTGGGTACTGCATTTTGGGTCCACACCATCGTATCGTGACAGGCCCGCCAGGTCTGGAATTGAAAACCACGGTGCTTGACTGATGGTTGATTGGTGAAGGTTGGTAGAAGATTAGTAATGATTTGAGCTTTGAGTTTGATTCCAGACGAACAATGACTGAGCGGTGAGAAGGTGAGGTTGGGTTCCTCATGTTGGCGTGTGTGTGTGTGATGATTTGGGTATGATGTGGCATGCCTGGTGGTTCTGTGTGTCGTGTACAAACACTGAATTGTTAAAATGGTGTAAATAGTAACTAGCACTATGACAAACAGTGAGCACAATTTTCTATCATGCTGTGATATATAAATTGCGTTGGAGGGCGTTATCATTACAGAGCTTTACTCAGTGGAAATGTTTACGTAGTTTCTGGTGAAGCGGTCAGGTTTTGTTTACATGAGAACTAAATCCAACATCCCACACCGTCTAAAGGGCAAAGTTACTCAACCTTGTTCCACCTAAACTAACAGAACAGTTAAGACTTTTATTTTACAGTAATGCAAAGTAAGAAGAGTGGAACACTGATGATGTAGTAAAAAATACACCTTCACCTTTTGAATAAATCAGTTCTTGAATTTTTTGAATAACTACATAGATAGTGTTCTTCTTTTTTCTACTTCCACTGATTTCCCTCTTTCCTATTCACTCTCTCTGTCTTTACAGTTTTTAATCACAATTGTCTATTTTTTGCTCATGTTAAATATATTTTTAACCATTTTCTAAATTCTTTTTTATATTTTTACATTTTTTGTTTTTGTGACGCGCCTCGTGATTTTTGTCTTGAGAGGCGCTACAGAAAAGATGTTTTCTTCTTCTTCTTCTACTTTGTTTTTCTACTTGTATTGGGTATGTTACTCCTTACATTCCCACAGGGGCGCAGATAGGATTTTCAAACTGGGGGTGACAAAATTCCAATGTACCCTCCCCCAAACACACACACATACACACACACACACACACACACACACACACACACACACTAGAGTGACCATACGTCTTCTTTCCCCCGGACATGTCCACTTTTCACTCTCTGTCCGTGGCGTCCGGGGGGGTTTCCTACATGGATCGAAATGTCCGGGTTTTCATCCAGGAGCAGAGATCGAGTTATGGGGGCTAGATATATTTCAGGGAAAGATCCAGTTTCTGCCTATATTACAATATTTATGGATACTCATCTCACATGACGTCACATCTCTGTTCACAAAAACACCAACCCAAAAAACCATAGACATAGTAGTTAACAGAATCAGACAGGACAAGACTTTACACAAAAGGACAAACCTCACAGCAGATGACATAGCACAACTGATAGCACTGGTAGCTAACTCCACTTACTTCACATACAATAACACAATATACAAACAACTGGAAGGCTTCGCCATGGGTAACCCGTTATCAGCCACCCTGTGCCAGTTTTTCATGGAAGACCTGGAACAAAAAGCCATAGCCACCGCCCCCCCAAACTGTAAAATAAAACTATGGAAATGCTACGTAGACGACATACTGGAAATCATACCAAAAGGTCAAACAGAAACACTAACACAACACTTGAACAACATTGACGACACGGGCAACATAAAATTCACTTATGAGTCAGAAACAGAAGGCAGCGTAGCATTTATGGATATGAAAATCACCAGACAGACCGACGGGACCCTAAACATAAACACATACAGGAAACCAACACACACAGACCAATATCTATTATGGACACCAGAACACCCCACCATACACAAAATATCAGTAATCAGAACATTATATCACCGAGCAAACATGGTAACAGAAGAGAGAGACCGTTAACAAGAGGACAAACACATACAACACGCTTTAAAGACCTGCGGATACCCGACATGGGCAATAAACAAAGGAAAACAACAAACAACAACAGAAAGAAAATAACAACCAAAGCAAAGAACCAGAAACCCAGAAAGACAAGAACCAGAACCAGTGATAACCCTACCATACATCAGAGGCATAACAGAAAAAATAAGAGCAACAATGAAAAAACACAACATAAACACACCAACAAAACCATACACAACAGTTAGAAACAGACTAGTGCACCCAAAAGACAAGATACCAGCTGGACTTAAATGTGGAGTCGTTTACAAAATCCCATGCAAACTCTGCAGTAAAACATACATAGGAGAACCCGGACGCCAACTCAACACACGAACAATAGAACACAGAAAGGAGTGTGAGAAAGAAACAAGCCGAAAACACACAAGAGCAGCTAAAGAAGAAGCAGGAAGCACAATAAAGAAGTCAGCCGTAACAGATCATTGCATAAGAGAAAACCATGTAATGGACTGGGACAACACAAGGATCATAAACACTGAACAACAGAAATATGAAAGATGGATAAAAGAAGCAATCGAGATAAGGAGACATGGATGTGGGACCATGAACAGGGAATATGGAGTTTACATGTTGGACCGCGCATGGGACTGCATCGTCGGAGAGGGGAGAGCGGGCAGCAGAGGGCGACAACGTCCTCTGCTGCCCGCGTATAAACGGAGAAGGAAGTGACGCCACCTTCAGCGTCAGCCTGAGGAAGTTTGCAGCCGCAAACGAAACATAGCGGGAAAACAGGTAAACAAAACTGCTCTGTGTTTTACAAAAGAACTACATTATGGGATTGGGGCCTGTCTTGTATGCAGCCAGTAGAAGGGCGGGAGCATGGAGCAGTGTCTTGCCTTGGCTCGGGGGCCTTTGTGCCTCCTGAACTGGCAGGAACATTTCTACCCCCCACTGGGATGGGTACTTTGGGAGAGCGAGCATCCAACTTTTCCTTGGTATCTTATGTCTTACCCCAACTAGAAGTTGATCAAATGCGGGGCTGGGGCTAGATTTTCTGCTGGGATGGGGCTGAGTTGGTGACCTCGGTCTTTGTGGGGTTCTGTGATGCTGCTGTTTTGGGCCCTGACTAGATGTTCTGGGGTCTCCATGCCCCACGTGGGTTTTGGGAACGGGGTACATATTAGGGCCAGCGGGAGAGCAGGCTCCCTAGGGGGCTTAGGCCTCTTTGCTTATCCTCCACATTCTCAGACATTTTCCTCCAGCTACTCCTTCACATCACCACAAAAACATGCACATAGGCCTTGGGGTACGATTCCCATGTCCACAGACTGGTAGCGGACATCACTCCAGTTTTAATTTGCAAAATAAACACTTCCACCAACGATATTCCATGCAATTGCTCACTTAGGGCCTTGGGGGTGAGCACTCAACAGCACCTGGGGAGGGGGATTCTGTTCACTCTGGGTCACTACAGTTGCCGGTGCCCACTTCCAAATTTAAACTGCACATAGGCACTGAATGGTTGTGTCCTCTGCACAGCAATACCGGGACCAGAGTAAGTAGGGTGTGTATGGGGAGCTTGAGTGGGGGCATGATGTACATTCTTGTTTGCCTTTGGGTTATATGTGTTTATATATGAGCATAAGGGTGGGAGTGTGTGACTGTGTTTCTGTGTGGCTGTATCTATCAGGTGAGGTCCTCCCCTCTCCTGGGACATCTTACAACATCTGCACCTACACGCCTCCTACCACATGGCCTGCTGTTGGGTAGTGCCTCAGTCTGCCTGCGTATTTGCAGCTCCCGTGTCTGTGGTTGGAAGTTTTGGCATCTGCCTGCTCGCTCTCAGTGGTCGCCTGGGGGGGGGGGTCCAGATCCCTGGGCCCTGTCGGGTCTCCACTGGGGTTGGGCGCCCTTGGGTCCACGGAGTTCTGAGCTCAGCCTGCCCTGTAGTGGGTGGCTGTGGGCGGGCCTGGGAGCTTGCCATTGTTTTCTCCTGGGCCTCTTGCGCAGCTGCTGGTATTCCCCCCCCCCCCCCCCCCCCCCCCCCCCCCGGGGTAATCCTCCTTTCAGGAGGGAGGTTGGGGCTTTTCCACCGGCAGTCTCCCTCGGGTGGTCTCAGCACTCTGGGGGGAGACCTCTGGATCTTTAGGGGCTTGGAACTCCACCTCCTTCACAGGTTTTTGGGGCAGGTCTGTAGCCCCTCATACTCAGTGTTGAACACACCTATAGAGAAACCTTACATAAATAAGTGTGTGTACGCACACAGAAGCTCTCACAAGTATGGACTTGGCTATTTTTAACACATAACATATGGCTGTGGTTGACACTAAACACACAGAAAATTACTATTGAGTGCTTTAAAAAAAATCCTGGTGCTATATATCCTGATGCAGGTGGTGCAGTGATATTTTGGTTGTGTTGTATTTTTGTGCCCCCACCCCCCTTTTTTTTCGTCTTCTTTTTCAGTCTGGAAGCAGATTTTTGTACATTCTTTATTTTTTATTTTTGTGAACCCCCCACCTCTTCCTTTCCTCTCCCCTTTTTTCTTTCTATTTCTGTGTCCATTGGGCTTTAAAACAACCAAAAATATGTATAGTTTTTATATTAGGTGAGGCATTATGGCTAAAGCTATACTGCTCTACCTGTGAAAGTGTAACTGTAAGTCTTGTCTTAGGCTTTCAGACGTGAAACAGCCTACGACAGGACACGGGGGAGGAAAATTAATGCAACACTGAATGGAAATTTCTTGTGAAATAGCTGTTTTTATTAAGTGACAAAGTAATTTGCTGAAAACATCACTAAGCTGTGTTTTTGCTCTTTCTTTGTCTTAGCAAAAAGTTCCAGTACAAGTGAGAACAACGGTATGTGTGTAACGACAGCCTCGGGTCAACAGGGACAAAATTATTTGTTTGAGTATTGCTGCAACACTCGTGGAAGTCTGAACCTTTGTTTGACCAGAGTTGAGAAACTTCTGGTAATGAAGGTCTGGTAAACAGTCACTGCAACATACAGTATTCATCTAAAATAAGGCTACACTGGAAGCCTTCTGCCATGAAATATCTGTAATGGTAGAAGATACAAGTGGTTGGCAGGGCCGTTTCTAGCATTGTGGGGGCCGTATACAACCGCATAGGTTGCACATAGGAAGAAATGGCCATGGTGGTTGGTGTTTGTTGGTGAATCTGACAAAAGCAAAAACAGGACAGAAAATATTATAAATGACATTAAAATTTCTTAAAATAATTTAAAAGGCCAACAGTTTGACCAAATGAAAGTGAATCAAAAGAGAAATATCAGTATATGTGTGCATAAAATTTGTCCCTCAGCTACTTTTAGAGCCTTTCTTAGTAAAAACCAAGTAATCATGTCGTATGCTATCAGTTTTCGGCATTGTTGTGGAGAAATTTATCAGTTTTTTGTTTCATATTTATAACCTTGGTTCTGGCAGTCTCTTGCTTTGGTAAAAATTCATAACACTCTGAGCATTTATAGGTTACTCTGGCATCAGTCTATTAATCTTTATTATTCATTTTCAACCAGCTTATTCATGTGGCTCCTTCTGAATGCATCTGTCAAAACACTCCTGATCTCTGGTTTACCCGGGCTGTTAAGCAGCCACCACCTCCTGCTGGTATATTTCTTCAACCAATACCTTGGAGAGAAACACGCTGAGGAGCTACCACAACTGCATCCAGTCAGCCCATCAGCAGCTGTAGCTAAGAGTGGAGACGCACAGAACCAGAAGCTGGAATCGGATTTGTGGGGTTGGTCTGTCAATCTGCAGTGTCCAAAATCACAGCGTAGTTTCAGAAGGATCTCCTTCAGGTATCAGTTCAGTATTCTGACAGAAGTCAGGTTCCTTCCAGAGTGCACGCTCTGCCAAATCCTCCAATAACACAAGGTCAGCCTTGTTACAATGTCAGATACCCGTCGATCACAGGTGTCTTTTATAGGTTCGAACATCAGTTATGCGACACTTTTTTTCTTCCTACAAACAGACATTTAAAACAATTTGTGGATGAGGAGCACAAGTGGATGACTGAGACCTTCAGTTTTGCGGTTCCCCCGTTCTTCCACTATATGCTGTTCGTACACATGATCAGAGCTCTTCTCATATTTAGGTGCATTTACACACCTTCACCTTCTAAGTGCAAAATGGTGAATACCATACAGTCAGAACAAACTTTGCCAATGCCCCAGTGTCCTGAAGCACAGAAATGTGTCCCTGCAACACAGCCTGACCAACAAAAACAGATTCAGGCAGACCACTACCATTTTGCCCCCATGACTGCATTTTGCTGGAGCAGTTTGCAGCTGAATGTGAAGCAGCTAGGATGAGAATCAGCTCCTCCAATAGATGGAGCACAAAATGGACAGGTGGATGGGTGCTGCATCTGCAGTGATGTGGTCGTCGTACTGGTCTGTCATGGTGAAAAGAGTGTCGCCTTATGGCTCAGCTCTCGATTTACCGGTCAATCTACGTTCCTACCCTCACTTATGGTTAAAGAAAGAGTGTGGATTCAACATTGACATATATACTGGACAATGCATGTCCATAGGCTCCAATAATAAGTTTTTGTACTAAAATGGGAGGTGGCCACCACCGCCATTTTGACCGTGTCACAGGTTCCGTCAAATCCAGACAATTCCAAAAGAGGGAAAAGAGGTGGAGCTGAGGGTGGGGCTGTAAGGCTGGGATCAAATGACGATACCCGTCGAACTGAACCAATGTGGCTACAAGCTAACCCAAAGCTAACACGGAGGTGGGAGCTAAGCTAATGGAGGAGCTACCTAGCTACAGCCGGAGTTAACTGTGCACAACACCAGAGCTTCTGAGTCACAGATGTGCCGGGCTGACCGCTGGGTAAAACCGGGTGGAACACAGAGGTCTCGGAGAGCTCCACAAGCCGGCAGCCGTGCAGCAGACAGGCGCCGCCTTTGGTCAGAGATGCACCGAGCTGCAGCTGAGGAGAGGGGACCATACCGATAGTGGGAGCCCAGCTCCACCAACATGTTATATTTCAACCCATTTTCTAAAGTGCAGCATTATGTTAAATGCACTGGGTTTTACCCTATTACATTTAAATTTCATGGTTAAACAGTACACGTTAAAATCTAAGCTCAGCTCGGCAGTGACCTAAAATACATAAATATAATTTTACTTACCGAAAAAATGAAGTGGAGACTCCTTGGACGCTCTATTAGTGCAATTAATGCCACAGCAAGTCATTTTGTCCAACAATTGCACAAATAATATCCAAACAAGAATACACACACACAGAGACTCAAAATGGCGGAACAGTTTCCAGGCCAGACCGAGGCTCTACTGAGGCCTTTCCCCAGAGCTAGCTCTGTGGTCACGTGGGTCTGATGCTCATTAATTATACAGAATTTTAGGCTTTTAATACACTTAAACAGAAGAGTGAGAAACACATTCACCCCCCTCAGAGTTGTCATGAGTGTAAACTAGATCATTTAAACCAAAAACATGTTTTGGTACCAGGCTGTAAACATGTTTATTTCTGCTGTGAAATTGGTATTTTTAACATGGGAGTCAATGAGGATTTGCTCGCTTCTGACACCAGCCCCCTAGTGGATGAGGGTGGAACTGCAATTTGTGTCACTTCCGCATTGTGGGGGCTTTGGGATTCAACCAGCTGAAAGGAGTTTTCTCTGCCGGGTGTCTGGGCTTTCCCTTAGATATGGTGAGGAGCTTGGTCATCCGGGAGGGGCTCGGAGTAGACCCACTGCTCCTCCACATTGCGAGAAACCAATTGAGGTGACTCGAGCATCTGCCTCCTGGATGCCTCTCTCATGAGGTTTTCCAGGCACATCCAACTGGGAGGAGACCCAAAGGAAGACCCAGGACACGCTGGAGGGACTAGGTTTCTCGGGTGACCAGGGAACGGCTTTGGGTTCACCTGAAGGAGCTCACCCAAGTGGCTGGGAAGAAGGAAATCTGGGCTTCTCTGTTAAAGCTGCTGCCCTCACAACCCGACCCAGAATAAAGGGACAGTAATGGATGCATTATCGTTGAGGAAAAACACTGCACCTTTAATTTAGTGTGTCACTTAAGGTGAAAGATCCAGATAGCTCTGTCTGAATAGAATTATGGCTGTTTACATTAAAATAGCTCTGCAGTCAGGAAATAAGGAGGAGCTAGAAGTCAGCTGTTTTGAGGAGGAGGAGGAGGAGGCATGTTTTATTGACAGTGAAGAAAGCCTTTCAGGAGGTCACTAAAGTATTACACCCCTAAACTATGATTTTCCAAAGTTCCCTCCTTGTTTCAGGTGGAAAATAAGTTAAAAATGTCAAAAGTGTACAGAGTTGAGATAAAACTCACATAAATGTGCTCTTTGAAAATAGAACAACCAACTATGGGCAAACATTCTTGAAACAGATTATTTTATTATAGTGTCACTTTTGCTCAGATTACACAAGAACACACACAGTTACATGGGAAGTGAGGAAGAACACCAACCCGACTCTATTCCAGCAATGTAATGCAACAAAAACAAAAAGGTCATTAAAGTCATTTTAAAGGGAAATAAACTGGAATCACTGGTGAGCGTCGGATCGGCCACACTTCATCTTTCAAGCTGCAGAAGAAAAATAAAACTTTAGGAGCTTTTTTAAACATCAAAGCGCTGCTGGTATCACTAAAGTCTACAGGATAAATCCTCCAGGTCTGATTCATTATAAACTATCAACAACATCCTTAAGTTATCTCATTAACATTATGAAGTAATACTAACTGAATTTTCTGGAAGAAAACACAAGTCTAACTCACTGAAACAAACAATATGCACAATAATGAGGTCTAAGGTATTGTTTCTTTCAAACATGCAAAAGAAGGGAAAAAAGGGGAGTAATTTTGTGGTTTATCAAGAAATTCCATGTGATGCACTTTGTTGTTTAGAATAATGTGGAACAAATACAGTAAATAGATGTAGTCACTGTTGATTGATACAGTTGACCGTGAGGTGTTGCTCCATCATCTTGAATATTATGTTGAGGTGTTAGGTTGTATCTTGCTGACAGGATAGAAAGACAGGTAAGTGTAAAGATAAGTGTCTTTTCTTCTGCCTTTACCTCCTCGGGGAGTTCCTCAAAGTTTGATACTAAGACCGTAGATGTTTTTTTGTTTATATTCTTCTTTAGGGTTATATCCTGTAGAAGTATGGTGTGGATTTTCATCTAGATGCTGATAATTGCCAGCTTTACTTGCCTTGGCATAAATCAGGTTATCGCGCTATTAAAACCCTCCTGGGTTGTTTGGCTGAGGTCAAGACATGGGTGTCTGAACCTGTTTGTGTCTTAATCAGAGTAAGTCGGGGGCAGTGTTGTTTGACCCAAAAGGTCGTATGGATGCCTCTAGGGATGACTGTGGAGAGTTCAGTTCCCACCTGAATGTATCAGCAGTTAAACTCAGGGTGATAACTGATAATGCCCTCTGCGATGATGGTCACATGGTGTTTTTTCCTCCTATCTTTTACGATGCTTGTCCAATCCTGTCAAGACGTGATCTTGAGACTGTTATTGATGCATTTGTTACTTCACGCCTGGACTGCTGTATCTCCATTCTAATTGATGGGGTCAGAGTACTTTAGCTGGATCTGGAGGACAAGCAAAATTTTGAGCATGTGACACAGATCCTGGCAGCTTTACGTTGGCTGCTTTTGCCTTTAGAAGTTATTTTATTTGTTTTTAAAACTCTGAATGTGTTGGCTCTGCCTGACTTACTACAGCCACACGTCCCGGCTCAGAAACTCCACTGGGAAAACCATTTGATGCTCTCTGTCCCAAGTAGAGCTGTAGCGAAGCCTCGATGACGTCGACGGCTCGATTCTAAAAATTCGTCGTCAGATCCGGAAGTCGACGCACCGCGCCCACATGTTGCATCCCCAGGAGTTTGTAAATAGAGGAGGAATCTGCCTGTTTTTCCTCTAGTTCGCCCTCTTCTCCGCCTTCACTAACATCTCCGCCAAATACTGAAGACCCGGAACAACGTCCGTCCGCTACTAGGTTCCTTTCCTGTTTTGCCCGCCTTCGTCTCCCGGCAACGGACAACAACTTCCGGGGTCAGATGCGCTGCTCTGTCTCTACCGCAGATGTAGAAAATCACCGGGAGCGTTTCTCCCTTCATTAAGGAGCTTCTTTCAGACATGAGGAGAGCTGTTTTGGTGGTAGCAGTCTCTCCTCCGTGCTGGTCTGTTTGCTGCTGGGTGTTTTTGGTTTATTTAAACTTGGTAACTTGAACTTAACGTTGGTAAAGCTACTGTTAGCATCTTCGCTAACAGCTTCTTGCGTTGGGATAAGCTGTTACGTTTTGGTTTAGAGTTCATCTTTTTTGTGGTGTAGATCTCCCTTTTATTACATTTAGAGTGTTGTGGGTTTTCGGTTTAGTGTAAAATATCACCTGAGTTTGGTTTAACCGCCCAGTTTAGAGTTTGGACCTTTGGAGATCCTTATTTTGGTCCAGAACCCAGTAATCTTTGCCCAGTGGGACATCCCTAGTTATTTGTACTTTTGTTTTAATTCCCCACAGGCAGAATTAGTTTTATTATTCCCAACCTGTGGATGGAAAGATTTATGATTTTTTGTAGTTGTAAATAAACCCGATCATCATTTTAACTTTTAAATCCCGTTATTGTCCCTTCCTTTTTGCACACGAGCCAAACTCCCCAGGAAGGGTCGTAACACCACTCGCCTCACGCACATAAGTGACCAAAACAAAGCAGCATGGAGACACTCCGTCTCCAACCACCTCTCAGGCAGCAGCCTGCACTCCCAAGTTCTACACATCACCAGAACATAACCAACCAACACAATAAACGCAGTGTTATACAAAATGGAAGGCCTGTAATGTTTATTCTCTTACAGTAACAATTTATCAATTTTTTGAGGAATTTATTAGAGATTTTTTGTTTTTTATTAACTGTGCAATTGAAAAATAAACACTAGATAATTGTCTAAATAGTAGAATAGTCAACTATTCGATAAAATAATCGTCAGAATAATCGTTTTAAAAATAATCGTTTACCCCCAGCCCTAGTCCCAAGGTCTTGTTTAAGATGAGGGGGGATAGGACCCTCTCAGTGACAGGTCCAATACGGAATGAGCTTCCACTGTTCTACTTTTGTGGTAGTTTTTAAAACAAGGCTGAAACCCCACTTCATGTGTGTTAGCTGTTGGTTTTTATCAGTTTGATCTTGTCTGTACAGCCCCGTGGTGGCATGTGTGTAAGGTGCTATACTGTATAATTAAAGCGGGTGATGCTTGATTTTAGTTTTTACCTTCAGCTGTTAGAGTGTATTCCTTCTCAGCCCGGTCACCTAGGAGAAGAAAAAAGCATTTTTATGAGCCCGCGCTTTTAACCAAGTGTGTGTTTTCTACGAGAACGTACTTGGCTGGTAGTAGTCATAGAGGGCAATCACGGCTGGCTTTAGGTTGTTTACTGGGATCTGCTGTAAGAGCTCTAAGCTGTGGTTGATCTGTACATCCTTCTTCAGCTGAACACAAACAACAACAGAGAGAGGACCCTTGATGTCAGATTCTGATCTGATGTTGTGTTTGACTCCACCGTGTTTATTCTTCTCACCCCTTCTAAGTACACCACAACGTGACCATCTTTGTGTTCGACTCGATCCACCAGCAGAGAAAGTTTGAGCTGTGAGGAGACGACATGAAATCGTGTTTATCCCACTGGCTCCTCTACACAAGAGAAAGGTGCTGCGTTAACTCACGTTCTCTAAAGACTGTGGGTCTGGAACAAATCCTGAAAGCAGGGCGATATCTAGGATCACCATATTGGTGCTGATTTCATTCCCGTTGTACCTGGAAGGGAAAAATAAAACATGTTATATTGTTGTTGTAACCATGATACCAAGCCACCGACCCTTACTAGTCGATCCTCTTATCTTAACCTGCTTGTTATTACTCACAAGGACATGATCTTCAGGGTCAGTTTGGGTTTGCGGGAGGTGTCAAACTCTGGTTTAACCTCCACCCTCATAGAGGTGACTGGAGGTGGAGGTGGGATGTTGTAGTGAATTGAAATCTGGGAAACAAGTAACCACGAGAGGTGTTTGGATCACGAAGAATCAGCTGATACGAGCACATGAACGTCCACCACTGACCTGCACTGAGGCACACGTGGTGCCCTCCACCCTCAGGCTGTTTTTTCCACTCACATCCTGCAGCAGCTTTTCCTGGTAGAGCAGTTTGTTCTCCTGATTCACATCAAACACCAGCGGCCCACTGGGAGACTGAACTGTGACTGTGCTTGAGCCTTCGGGACTGAACACAGCACTGGAGTAGAGAGCCAGAGCCTGCAGAGCCACCACAGTGTCCTACAACACAGACAAGTGTGTGTCTGGGAGGCTCATTCAGAACCATGGGTGTCCTCAAATAACCAGAGCTTCCAAACCAAATTTCATGAGACAGAATTTAAACCATAAAAACCATAAAATGTGTTCGTTCACTCAAAGATGTAATTTTAATCGTGAACAGCTTTTCTGTTCTTTGTCCCATCAGGGTTCAGTCTCTGTGTTGCCAGGGGGAGTCTAAACTGCTCAGGGCTTTCAGAATCAGTAGAGTAGGCCTTCATAATGTACACTGTATAGGGAGCCTAAGTCTCCTTCTCTTCTGGTCAGCTCTAAAAGAAGTAGAAGTTTATTTATGTAGCACTTTTCACAGAGGCAAGTCACAGAGTGCTTCAAAGACAAAAGTGTCACCTGATAAAAAAATAATGTAAGTGAACGGGGCTATAAAACTTATTTTCTGCTCCACTTTGCCTTATGCCTAAATCACTCATATGTTATAATTCAGTTGAAATGATACATTATTTAAGATTTATTAGCTTGTAAAGGGTTGACTACAAATCAGAAGTGTCATTAAGAACATCACAGCGTAGCGGCCACTTACCACATGGCCACATTTATAGTGGTTTTCCTCACGTTTAATGCTCCTTCTTTCATCCCAGAAGAAGGATGTCAGGCTTTGCTAAACTCACATCTCTTATTTTCCTCTATGTGTCTGTCTGATGAAGTAAATCTGGTGAGACGAGCAGTTGGACTCCTCTACGTGTTTTCACACAAAACCTAGAATATCTTCTGGCGCCTGTCTAATAAAAGCACTTTCTTGGCATCAAAATGTGTCTTTAATGTTTACGGACATGTGAAATCCATGAAACATATAAAACGGGATCAGAAAAAAACTTTTATCAACTCATGAAATGTTTCTCAATGTAAGGTGTGACCGCAGCGGTCGCATAATGTTACGTGAGGTAACGTTATATTTTATACGTACAAGTTTAACTATAAATAAATAACAAGCCTTACCAAGCAGCTAGCCAACCACAGGTAACATCTTTGGATAGAAATAAAACACTTTAGAAATCAGCCTGATGGATACAATTAACTGACTTATGTTTGCCCCCAAAGTAGCTGCCAGCTTCTGATTCGCCGTCCTTTTGAAAATACCGCAGTGTATTCTGGGAAATTTTTGACCAAGGCTAGGCTACAAGACACCTCCCGTGTATCCTTGCTCAGCTAGCTTAATGGCTAACAAACGGAGACCAGATGCCTTGGTAGCGCATGAACACTGAAACACGCCTTGGCGGTAGCTGATTATATATCTCCAAGGTAGCCAGGGCGGGACCAAGACATCAAGCCGAGGTTCTTTAGCTTTGAGAAACACCCATGGACTCCCAGTCATTTTTTGTGGCAGTAGGGGACCGATTATCTTGAAGTAGATGGGTGTGTCTTAAGCACCCTCTAGCAGGAGAGCAGTTTATTTTTTTTACCACTCAGCTTTCAGATTTAACTCCTTGTGCCAGCTAGCTGGCTCATGGTGATGTCAGAGCTTTTTTGTCCTCTGATGCGATGAGACACTATCACCACTGTTGTGCCCGAACGCATTCATTGAACGATCGTTCGTGAATTTGTTTGTCTTTTTCGTGAACGTGAACTGAACTCGTTCGTATTTAGCCTGACAAAAGTAAAAGCGAGTGCGTTCGTCCTGGCGTGCGTTCTTTCGTCGCTCTAGCCCCAGATCTCCACGGAGCTTTTCCAGAGCTAAAGCCTAGCTAAAGCATCCTGTTAACCATAAAGTTTATAAAAAGTAGAACCCGCAAATGCAGCCAAACATAGGCAGTAGTGGTTGGTGTGGCATCTACTCTTCTATGTCTACGCTGTGTGCAGGAGACAAAGTCCATTCAGAAAAATTGAAAAGGGGCTAAACTGAAAGATTGTACATTTTTTAATGTTTAGCACTTTTAATATTGCACTTTGAGTTTGCTACCTCAGCCTGCGTTCTAAGATTGTTTAATCATTTTCCATTAAAATAATGTTTTCCTCATGTTATTGAAAATATACCTTCCCCGCAGGTAGGTGGAAGTAGGCTACTCTCTCATTCACTGGGATAAACCTCAACGTACAAGCACAGAGATCGGGGGCAACTAGTATGCCCACCCCTGCTTTCCGCCTCTCAGTGGGGGACAATCCAGAGTGGTAGTGTCCAGCCCCTCTCGAGGAAACTGGTTCCAGAGCCAAGTGTCGAGGTAACTCCGACTGTCAACCTCACAAACCAACTTAGTCTCTTTCCCCACCAGAGAGGTGACAGGCTACATATCAAGAGCTAGCTTCAGTAGCCAAGGATCAGACTAGGGCATGGCTCCAAATGGGCCCTTGGTGATGCGCGTCCAGTTGAGAGCATATACCCAACCCCTTTGGTGAGCCCAAGGGAAAGGGGACCCAGATTCCTTATTTGGGCCGTGCCCAGCCGGGCACCATGGGTGAAAGCCCAGCCACTAGCCACTCGCCACCATGCCCCATCTCCGGCAAAGATCGATAGATGATATCAAACCTGATTGTGTTACCTGCGTGGACGAGAAGCCTCCATAATAGTTCTGCTGAGTCGTCAGCCACCTAACAATGCTGGAGGCGTAGCCCAGGTCTTCAGCAGTTTGAGAGAAGGCCAGTTTTGCCATCAGCACATAGGAGCTGATCTCCACAGACAGAGAAGCAGATGTTTCTGATGAAGTCTGAGACCAGTAGGTGAAACCTCCTGAAAACAAACAATAAAATTGAACTATTTTTCCTGTTTCCAAACTCTAATCCGTTCCCATCAGAAGATAACCTACCTTGTTTTACTGCAACTGAGTCCAGGTGCTGGAGAAGGTGAGCACGGGTCTCCATGTCTCCTGCCAGTGTGAAGACATATGCCAGCAGAGCTGTGGTGTAGGTGTTGCTGAAATCATTGGTGAACTCTCTGAGGCACGACAGGCTCCTGCTCACTACTGGATCCTTCCACAGACAAATAGACATGTCAGATGGCTCTACCTAATTAAACATGACTACCATGTTCTTTAAAAAAAATGTTAGTAAACACAAGTTCCACAAAGATTAACAATCAATGATGAACAGGGGTCTGCTTCTAGACCTGCAGAAAAGGGACACAACAATACAGCAGGAGCAAAGGATCACTTCGTCAACTTGATGAAGAAATATCAATCAATCAATCAATCAAAGCTTTATTTATAAAGCGCCTTCCGCAACCCTGTCAGGAAGCCCAAAGCGCTGAACATGGTACAGTTGTAAGTAAATATATTGTATAAATCAACAATAAAAGAAATTCAAATTACAAAATACAAAATGGAAATTACAAGATAGATGAAACAGTCCGGTAAAGGACAAATGTGTGTAACACATTTGGATTGAGTGGATGGATTGAGTGTACCAATGAAAACTGTGGAATGGATTCAACATAAAAGAGGGCCAAAATCAAACATGTTTTACTGAACGATCACACGATAATAAATCATAGAGCATTTAGTGCCAACCACATCCTTAAGGCATGTGCTGAACGTGCCCAAGTCCATACTTATGAGAGCACCATGTGAGCACCTGTGTGTGTACACGCGCTTGTTTATGTAAGGTTTCTCTATAGGAGCGTCCAATAGAGTGTGAGGGGCCACAGATCTGCCCCCTAAAGATGTGTAGGAGATGGAAGGAGCTCCAAGTCCCAGAGATCCAGGAGCTGCCCCAGAACTCAGGGACCCAAGGTAGACTGCAAACAGAAAAGCCCCCGCCTCCCTCGAGAGGTGCAGAGGGGCCACAACCAGCAGCCGGCAGAGCCCCGGGAGATATCAGCGGCAAGCCCAGAGGCTCGCCCGCAGCCTCCCACCCCCTAGCCGGCCGAGCCTGGAACCCAGCGACCCGGGGCCCAGGGGCGACCTCCCATGCTGGGGACCCAACAGAGCCCAGGGACTCAGATCCCACCAGGCAGCCACCGGGATTAATCAGGCAGACGCCAACAATCTTAAACCCCCTGACCCGGGAGCTGCGAACACTCAGGCAGACCAAGGCACCACACTCCACACTAAGTGACGCAGGGGGAGGGGAAGCGAAGATGTATAGCAGCAAAAGAAGTCCCAGGAGAAGGGAGGAGTCAAAGGCCCCACCTGACATATACAGTCATACACAAACACAGTCACACACTCCCTCCCTCATGCTCACACATGTACATACAACCAAAGACTTACAAAAATGCATGCCAGAAACCCACTCATACTCCCCAAACACACCCTATTAACTCTGGTCCCGGTACTGCTGCACAAAGGATACAACCATCACCAGTTCCCAGAGTTCGACCTTTTCTGCTGGGGTGCTGATGAGCAGGCTCCCCTCCCAATGCTGAGCAAAGCAACCCTCCACCCCAGACCCCAACCAGACGGCCAGATCCCCTCCTAGCCTCCAGCCCCGGGAAGCCAAGTGAAAAAAGAGGTGTGCTAAGACCCCTAGTCTCCCGCCGCCTGCTCCAATATGGTGTTAGTGCATGCTGATGAGGTGTATTCGTGGCTGTGGTGAGCGGGCAGTGCGGGCATCATCTGGCCTACACCAGCTGATTCCACCACACCACCCCACTTGCACCCACAGCCCTCTGTGTCTAAGTGCAGTTTAAAATTGGAAGTGGCACTTGGGATGAGGCTGAAAATTCCCCCCTTGCCCAATGACGTTGAATATGCTCACTCCCAGGGCCCTAGGTGTGTGTTTGCGTTGAATGTCGTCGGTGGAAGTGTTTAATCTGCAAATAAAATTAAGGGGCAGGTTGCCACAGGAATGCGGAAATGGGGTCCGTACCCGCACTCACTGACTTGTCCACCCCCCAAGGTCCTATGTGCATGTTTGTGTGATGATGTGAGGGAGAAGGTGGAGAAAAATGTGTGGGGATGGGGAGGAATGGCTGGTTGGCCTAAGCCCTCCAGGGAGCCAGCTCCCCCACTGGCTCCAATAGGCACCTTCGTTGCCAAAATACCACCCAGGGCATGGAGACCCCACCCCGTCTTGCCAGTGCCCAAAGCAGCAGCATCACAGAGCCCCACGGAGTCCAAGGGCACCAATCCAGCCCCACCCCAGCAGAATATAAACTCCCATCCCTGCATTTGCACAACTTCCAGAATATGTAAGACATAGGACATCCAGGTAAGGTTGGGTGCTCCCCCTCCTGGACATCCCCCTCCCACGTGATGGGACAGCAAAGGAGCCAAGGTCTACCTGAGGCCCCCGAGCCTGGGCCAGGCACTGCCGCATGTTGCCGCCTTCTTCCCGGCAGCATACATGTCAGGACCCGACCCCCAAGGCCCCGCCCAGATCCCCACACGGGGCCAGCCACCCCCACACCCTGAGCCCCCAGGCCCCCACCCAGACCTACTCAGGTTAATGCAGCCACCAGGCAGCAACCCATGACCACCAGACGACACAAACCCCATCTTGAACATCCGATGACCTGTATAGTGTACTCTGTGTAGAATTCTGTACTGAATTAATTGTAAATTGGAGTGTCTGATCATTTTAAAAGTTTTTAAACAAATTTGGGACCAGAAGTTCTGGTCAAAGCTAACTGATAGATCCACCTCCCATTTTTCAATAGGGATTGCTATTCTATCGTCTATTTTGGACAGTGGTTAGGGTTAGGGTTAGGGTTATTCATCAGCTAGGCTCTCTGGTTCTGTGGTTCTGATCTAATCTGTTGTTCGTAGTAAAAATTGCATGTGCAGTTCTGTTGTTGAAAGCAGGGGAGAGAAAGATAAGGTGCAAGACACTTTTTCTGCTTCTAGATAGTGGCCTCTGAGAAAATAAAAATAAAATTAATAAAAAAAAAAATATATATAATATATAATATATATATGTATATATATATATATGTATATATATATATATATATATATATATATATATATATATATATATATATATATATATATATACATATATATGTGTGTGTGTGTGTGTGTGTGTGTGTGTGTGTGTGTGTGTGTGTGTGTGTGTGTATTTTCCATCTACTCACGTTAACGGAGCTGTTCGTCTCCAGGAGGGCAGCAGTTATATAAGCACTAAGTGTGACTTCATCAGACACACCACCCTGTAGAGAATCATCACATTGATTTTGTTATCAGTCAGAATTAATTAATTGCCTCCATGTTGCCATGGTAACTCATAAAAATAAAAATAATGCTGACTCAGCAACAGTCTCTGTGTGAAAATGAACATCCCAGTTCTGTTTGCGGAGTTTCCTACCTTCATTCTGTTGTTAAACAGTTTCCCTGACTGGACAAAACAACCAGTGATGTTTTGCCTTTCTATCAGCCAAGTCTTTGAAGCTTCCATCTTTGTTTCATCGATGTAGATGAAAGACTGAGCTTTATGAAAAGACCTCAGGACAAAAGCAGTCAGCCTGAGGAAAAACAAAATGATCAATGCTGATGTTGTTTTTGCAGTATGTTTGGGTTAGAAAGCAGATGTGTACACTGGGCCTCAAGGCTCCTGTCATAAATACAAGCAGGGCGTTTTAGTGAAGGCTGCGAGAGAAAATCCAGCATTCCCAGTTAGAACTAGAGAGGAATGTTGCTGACATTAGTTACCAGCCTGCTTACCAGGTGTTTCCGGGTCCTGATCCAAATGTACTGTATGCACCTGCAATGTCTTTGTAGTTCAACTGTCTCTGGTATCCTGCAAAAGAATCAGGACATTAGGTGGGACACAAAATGTTAATTAGAGGGTTTGGTTCTAAGTTTTTATTTTACAGGAAGACCATGAGCATTAATTAGTCATGACAACCAGATCAGGTAAATAGACCAGATTCTGCTAAAGACTAATCTATTTTTGTTGGTACAGAATAACGTGCAACAGAAAATAACCATTAAAACACACAAGAAATTCAATTAAATTCTCTGAGATAACTGGATTGGGACCAGATATGAGCTTCACTACCAGAGAGAGCTTCTGATGTGGAAATAAAAATCCCACCTGGTCTAAACTCATGTTAGGTACATTTAGTTCTTGTCCAATGAAATGATGTGAATGGGGATCTTGTACACAAGTCAAATATTTTACACTGGAATTTGTCAGGATAGAAACCCACATCAGCATCAGAGCACACTGTGGCAGAGCACATGTGAGGCTGATCAGCAGGAGGTGCTTCATAAGCACACACGGTGGAGCTGGAGGAGGAGACTCTGATGGCTCTCAGACCTGGGACGAGCACGGGGAGTGCGTGGGTCTGACCTGGAGAGCTAATAAACAGTGTTGAGGGGTGTGGATGAGCCCGGTGTGGCTGGTGTGGTGCTACATACACGTTCAAAGTTACTGTGGTTAAGTTGTGCCCGGGGGTGGGAACTGTGGCCTGAGATTGTGGAGTCGCCACATTTTGCTTGATAGAACAATTGAGAATGGAGTATCGTTTCCACATGGACCACTGTGTTCTTCTAAGGACCAGAACTTGAGGACCCGTGAGGACACGAAGACACAGTAAGGCGCTTTAAAAGTCTTTATTAGCAAAAAGCTATGATGTACTAGTAGAGGGCGAGGCTAGAGACAGAGTCGGTGAAGATGCGAGGGTCGTGGAGTTTTTTGGCAAGGATCAGGTGTGGAAACGAGGTCAGGAGGCGATGATCAGGCTGGAAGATCTACTAGCAGAAGCGTTCAATAATCTGACAGAGCTCTGGTGGCTGACTGAGGAATATATAGCTGGTGAGGCAGGTGTGTGGCATGAGCTTGATGGGTATTTAACAACTCAGCCACCCGTAGTCGTTGGTGGGGGAATGATGGTACAGCAAAGATGCCCCGTAGAGAGTCATTAACCATCTGTACCACCATCCTAACTGCCTCCTCAGTTGAGGCCGGCTTAGGAGCTTAACATGAGGTGTCGTCTGGGGGACCCACTGACACCAGCACGGGAGAAGGATCAACAATTTTAGCAGCTTCAGCAGATGTCCGTGACTGCGGCTGATGTGGCATGGCAAGAGGGGCTTGAGGCTGGAGCAACAGGATGACTGGCGGAGCAGAGCTTCTTGGATGGGCAACGCCTCTTGGACAGGCGGAACCTTGGGTGGCGCCTCTTGGACGGGCGGCGCCTCTTGGACGGGTGGCACCTCTTGGACGGGTGGTGCCTCTTGGACGGGTGGTGCCTCTTGGACGGGTGGTGCCTCTTGGACGGGTGGCGCCTCTTGGATGGGTGGCGCCTCTTGGACGGGTGGTGCCTCTTGGACGGGTGGCACCTCTTGGACGGGTGGTGCCTCTTGGACGGGTGGCGCCTCTTGGACGGGTGGCGCCTCTTGGATGGGTGGCACCTCTTGGACGGGTGGTGCCTCTTGGACGGGTGGTGCCTCTTGGACGGGTGGTGCCTCTTGGACGGGTGGCGCCTCTTGGATGGGTGGCGCCTCTTGGACGGGTGGCGCCTCTTGGACGGGTGGTGCCTCTTGGACGGGTGGTGCCTCTTGGACGGGTGGTGCCTCTTGGACGGGTGGCGCCTCTTGGACGGGTGGCACCTCTTGGATGGGTGGCGCCTCTTGGACGGGTGGTGCCTCTTGGACGGGTGGTGCCTCTTGGACGGGTGGCGCCTCTTGGACGGGTGGCGCCTCTTGGATGGGTGGCACCTCTTGGACGGGTGGTGCCTCTTGGACGGGTGGTGCCTCTTGGACGGGTGGCGCCTCTTGGACGGGTGGCGCCTCTTGGATGGGTGGCACCTCTTGGACGGGTGGTGCCTCTTGGACGGGTGGTGCCTCTTGGACGGGTGGTGCCTCTTGGACGGGTGGCGCCTCTTGGATGGGTGGCGCCTCTTGGACGGGTGGCACCTCTTGGACGGGTGGCGCCTCTTGGACGGGTGGCACCTCTTGGACGGGTGGCGCCTCTTGGACGGGTGGCACCTCTTGGACGGGTGGTGCCTCTTGGACGGGTGGTGCCTCTTGGAATTTTTCATTTGCAAACAACAATGAGTAATGATGGAACAGCTGCTATATTCTAAAGGCCATGGTAACCGTGAGTCTGGTCACATTTTATAATTTTAGGTTTCACTCATAGCTGCTGTGCGTCTCAAACTGTCCCACCAGAACAATGTTCACAATATGTTCTGAGTTAGTTTTTTTATGTAATATTTATTTATTTTATCTCTGAGCAATTGTAGTGCCTACTGCGCAGGTCTACAATAACACAACCAACATGAGTCTTTTGTCAACGAGGTCTTTTTCTAACAGGTTTGACTCTACAGCTAACAAGCTGTATGATAAACATGAAGAAGTCTTACCACTGGTTAGGAAGTTTGATGCCTTTTCTTTAATGGCTGGGGTCAGCTGTTGGGTTTTTTGCAAATATTCAAGAATGTAGATGTTTGGAGCTAGTAAAGCCATGTTCTGCTCCCCACATCCATACGGCATCTGAAGCAGTCCATCCAGATTCTTCAGGGCACGGCCGAGAATGTCACCTGCAAAAGTCCAAATCAACCACAGGAAGCAGATTTTCATGTGTGTAGACGATTAGAGCAAAGAGCATGGGGGGAGCACGAGGGGGAAATGACCCATTTTGTTTTGGTGCAATTAAAGAGAGATTTTACCAAGGACTGATACTGTTGCACGAGCAGATCCCTCAATCACATTTCCAGGAAGTTGTATTTCTGTTTCCTCTGTCAAAGTGTTTCCTGAGTACAGAAAACAATAACAACATTATTAAAGAGGCACATTTTTATTTTCATCAACAAATATCCCAAATGTCAAACTCAAGGCCAGGCTCAGTGTCTCTCCTTAGGCATGTTCTGATATTTAATTATAAATCTCACACAAAGGGTCCCATTTCTGTATTAATGAAGTAAAACACCTGAAAAACAGGAGAATTTATCTCATCCTCTTTTCAAAAGATTTAACAGAAGTCCGTCCTCAAGGTGGACTAAGTTCTTAGTTCAGCCTCCGTGGAATTACGTTTGACACGCCTGATCTAGATCTGACTGACCTTTGGGGCAGAGCAGCCAGTTGTGTGTCTTTGTTACTTCTATTCCTTCAGCCTGAGAGAAAGGGATAAATAACGGTCAGGTTGGGTTACAGTGATGGTTTCATTAGTCAAAACTATTTCAATGACTTGATTCTTATTTTCTAGTCCTCATATTTAATTCTACCAACCTTTACTATAAGAGAACGCGTTACAACATCAATGCGGCCTCTTTCTGGAACGCTCACAATCTCATTGTCACAAGAAGCGTGTGACGGAATAGCCTCAGCAGTCACGGTCACATTCACAACCCCTAAAAAGGAACAAATGAGATGGATAGTTGTTCTTGCTGAGGTGGATCTCCCTGAGAAAGTGTCATCACTTCCTCCTGCCTCCAGCCTCATCATCATCGAGTGAATGAAAGTCTGGCCCTCACCTAAAGCTGTAGGAGCCATGATCCACCTGAGGGTTTTGCGCTCATTTCCACATAAACAGCTGGTGTACTGGTCACCAGAGAGGGGGCTGAGGGTGAAATCTGAGGAGGGGGCGGGACTTATTTTGACCTGTTTGTGAGAGAAAATTTTAAAAATCAAGTAGTTATAAATTAATAAAATCTTGTTTGTGACGAGTGAGTGATCGTTTTAATAACGACTTTGTTTTTGTTTACAAGAACTTAGCTCACTGATAACATATTGAATATTGTGTCTGATGGCCGACTACATCAACGTGGCAGAATTCATGTAAAATGAACCATTACCATAATACAGCTGCTTAGATAGTTGAAGACAGTTGCTTTCAACTCAAAGTTTTCTCCCCGGATGATGGAGTAGGGAAGGGTAAGCTCAAGGAAAAACGGCTGGAAGACCGTGAGTTTTTCACGAGGAGCCAAACCAAAACCCTGAGGTGACAAACAGAACGTCTCCGTTTCCCAGGTGGTGATTGTGTCTGGCACAGTAAGAGGTACGTCCTTTGTTCCAGATGCTCTGCAGATGAACAAACACGTCAGGTCAGAAACAGGCCAATTAAGTAAAACAGAGAGACTGCACGTAATGTTTGTTTTGTCAAGGGAAGCTGGGTTTGGAGGTGGGGAGATGAGCGACCGAAAACAGCTTAAAGCAGAAGTAAAAGTCAAAGCTCACTACTTCTCGTCATCTTTTGATGCCGTATCCTGTCTCCCACCTTCTCTTTTTGAAAACGTACATCATTGCCCTCATGAACACAGGCATAACACCAGTCAACACATTCTCACACCCTAACACCGGCTTTCCACGGGAGCCGTCAGCAGCACGTCTTGCTCGCGTAAGCTGCTGCTTGGCCCTTCCCACGAGACGCGTAGCAGCAGGGGAGCAGCTGTCACCGACCGAGCACGAAGTCACACGAGTGACTTCGTCAGTAAACACAACAAGCAGGAGAAAACTACAACATGGTTTGTGTTTTATGTTCTGTCCATTTTATAATCACCAATACGGACCTGAAAAACAAAGGAGACCGCTAGCTAGGTGATAACTTCTCACGGGGACGCACAGTTAGTAACCTTTTTTAAAAGTAAAGCAAATGGAAGGCAGTACGTTTCTTTATTCTGAAAATCTCGGGAGCTTCTCTCCATTTCCACGTCCGATTTCCTGTCTTTCCTTCCCCAAAAATGTCGAACTTGACCCGTTTCAGAGGCGCCGCGCGTAGAAAATAGAACCGGCGCGTAAAGGCCGCGACATGCTGCTCCTGAGACGCGGCCGACTCGCGCTGCTGACGGCTCCAGTGGAAAAGGTTCTGTTGACCACAGCGGTTCCTATCAGCAGCTATGACGTGCTGCTGCAGTAACATGCTGCTGACGGCTGCTGTGGAAAGCCGGGGTAAGTATCCAAAAATGACGCTTAGGGTGTGACCAAGCGTTCGTTTCCGTCGCGTAGGGAGCCCTTGCACGTTGGGAGGCGACAGGCTGTGCCAGAGCGTCGGTATGCGACGCCCGCGGTAAAATGGACATTTTCGTGTTTATACGGTTAGGGTTAGTGGAGGACATGTGCTTGAACAAAACAGTCCTTTCTATACTACCAAAGCTCACCCAATGTCCACCAGATCCCATATCCAAGTTTCGGGGAAAAATGTGCGAACGGTCAATATTGGTTCAGAATTCTTGGGTGGGAATCCTCCAACAGAGACAGATTGTGGCACTGCCATAGCTTCTGGCACAGCCATGTCATATGTCCTTGAATAGGAAACACCAACCATCCCTTCAATAACAGAGAACAGAAAAACAACTTAGGATAGTTCAACAGGAGGAAATAACGTCATATGTTTGTATTGTAAAAAAAAGATTATGTCGCACTAGACGAGTCAAAATGTTACCTGGGAGTCCTAGATTGTATTGTCTACCCATAAATTTGAGGCATGAAGGCGCTTTTGTTGCCAAATTTGTTGCCGTCTTCAGTCCGATGTTCTGCACAATCCAAAAACAAATAGACAGTATCAAAAAGTGTCGTACATGTTACCCACGGCAACAAAAACTGTTTTTTGAGGAGCCTGTGAATATTCATTATGTAATCTTTAGCATTATCCAGCTATTTCTTCCACATACCTGGAAAACTGTGTGGGCGTCGTTTTCTTCATCAGGATAAGGCACAACATATCTCTTCGGCCTCACATGTAAACATTCTGTTGGGTCCAAAATCTGATATGGGGTATATGTTACCTTTTTGACAGGCAGCAAATTGAATATCTGCAAAAGATAAATGAAGAAACAATAAATATAAAACGGGGCATCTGCTTCATGTGAAAGGACTGAGGGAAGAGGGGCTGGATGCAGGATCACCAGTGTGGTGATTCATTACTGAAAAATATGCATTTATTTGTCGTCAATATGACTAGGACCTCGAGTGGTCCAATTCGAACTGCATCATAAGCCTCTTTCATAAGACACACCATGGTGGCCAATCAGGGTACTATTGCTGCCACAGGGTGTCTTTTGAAAGTGCTGTGGCATCGTGGCGAGGCGGGAACATGGCAGCATTTGTGCCGCTAAGCTTGAGAGTCGTATTATCACAAGGGCAGACTTCTGAATGAAGATCACGCCTTTGCACAACAGATGGTGATGTCATGATCACGTGTGGAATGTCCGCCGAACACCGTCTGTGTCATGAACTCCTCCTCTTAACCTCCTCTGCGGGCCTGGCTGGCACTGCACTCCAGTTCCCAGCATCCCTGTCACCGACGCTTCCCGGTGACGTCATCCCGCTGAGCCTATTTAAGGACCTGTCACAGCTGAGCCGGCACTCAGTCATCATCTCACGATAGACGCCAACCTATTCTAAAACGACTAAGCCTAATCTGCCAGCTCTAAAGACCATCCGGGAAGAGAACTTCCCACGCTGTAATCAGTCACGACCAAATACCAGTCTCTCCGCGCCTGGGTCTCCAAGCCACACTCCAGCTCAGCCGATCGTACCTGACAGGATGACTGAGTCCCGAGTAGACCCAGCGGATATCGCACAGCTGCGAGCAGACGTTGCACAGCTGCTCAGCCGTGTAGAACGCCAAGAGGCGGAAAACGCCCAACTTCGAATAGAGAACAACCAGCTTCGTGCTGTTACTGATCGCCAAGCATCCAAATTAGATTCTGTCACCGAACTGGTCGTCCAACTCTCCTCGGCACTCCAACGTCAGGCATCTGCCACTTCTAACACTGTGGAGCCGTTTCTAAGTCTCCCCGACAAATGGGATGGGATTAAAGGATCCCCGGAGGGCATGTTGGCCGTCCTGTCAATGACTTTCGAGTGTCAGCCGGCACGCTACCCGAATTCCTGCTCTCGCGTTGCCCTGTTAACCTCCCTGCTGACGGGGCGAGCTGGTGAATGGGCGGCTGCCCTGTACAACCAGAAGTCTCCCGTGTGCAACGATTATGAAACCTTTGTGAAGGAACTGAAGAAGGCATTTGTGCATCCCAGCAGACGAGACACGCCTGCTCCAGCTTCGGCAGGGCTCTCAGACTGTGGCCGAGTATACGTCACGCTTCCGAACCACCGCTGCCCGTCTGACCTGGGGTGATGCCGCGGTGAAGGCTGTGTACTTGGAGGGATTGTCACCTCGCATCCGGGAGGGCATGATCGGACACGAGGCCCCGACCTCCCTGGACCAGGCTGTGGACCTGGCTCTCCAGCTGGATCGCTGCCTTCTCACCAGACCAGGAGCGAGGGCGGTTCCCATACAACCCAGAATGTTCCCCCGCCGTCAGGAGAACCAACCCACGGAGGAACCCATGCAACTGGGTCATTTGCCCCCCGAGGAACGGGCGCGGCGTTTTCAGGAGGGACGATGCGCCTATTGTGGGGATCTGGGCCATCCCCGGGCAACATGCCCCATACGCCCGGGAAACGGTTCCTCCGGGTCGGTGTAGGAGCAGTCTCACCCGGAGCCTCCATTCATGCAGCTCCTCACCACACCACCCTCCCGGTCTCCTTCCAGCTGAGCCAAGGACCGGTCCCCCTGGTGGCTCTCCTCGACACCGGAGCTGCAGAAAGCTTTATCGACCAGGGGTTGGTCAACCGGCTCAAGATTCCACTCACTCTCCTCGATCACCCCGTTCCCGTCACTTCAGTGGACGGTCGCCCTCTCGTGCCATATCCTATCACGCACCGAACCCAGAACCTCCGGATGACCATCGGAGAACACATAGAGACCCTTCATTTCCTGGTCATTCACGCCCCCACGACTCCTCTCATTCTGGGTCATTCCTGGTTCCGCCTCCACGAGCCTCACATCTCCTGGTCCACCGGTAAAGTCATGGCGTGGGGTGTTAACTGTCGCCTTCATCATCCGTCTCCAGGATCACAGCCTAGGGAGACACCACCCAAGGATGTGGATTTAACACTCCTTCCAGGATCACAGCCTAGGGAGACACCACCCAAGGATGTGGATTTAACACTCCTTCCACCCCAATACCACAATCTGGCTCGGGTCTTTGCAAAGGAGCCTACCACCAAGCTGCCTCCTCATCGCCCCTACGATCTGGAGATCAGGCTTCAGCCCGGAACCACCCCGCCTCGGGGTCGGCTGTTCTCACTCTCCCCGGCAGAGACCCAGGCGATGGACGCTTATATCAACGAGGCTCTCCGGAAGGGGTTTATCTGACATTCCACGTCTCCTGGGGCGGCAGGGTTCTTCTTTGTGAAGAAGAAGGAGGGTGACCTCCGGCCCTGTATAGACTATCGTGGGTTGAATAAAATCACCATCAGGGACCGCCATCCTCTCCCTTTAATGAGCACGGCTTTGGACGCCACTGCCCAAGCCACACTGTTTACCAAGCTGGACCTCCGCAGTGCATACAACCTCATCCGCATAAAGGAGGGGGAGGAGTGGAAAACCGCTTTTATTACACCCACTGGACATTATGAGTACCTGGTCATGCCCTTCGGCCTCTGCAACAGCCCTGCCGTCTTTCAGCGTTTCATCACTGGTGTCCTCCGTGACATGCTGGGTCGTTGGGTTTTTGTTTACTTAGACGACATCCTCATCTACTCCCGCACGGCCGAGGAATACACCCAGCATGTTCGAGCCGTTCTGTCACGCCTCCTGGAGCATGACTTATTCTGTAAACTGGAGAAGTGTGCCTTCCACCAGGAGTCCACCTCGTTTCTGGGATTCATCATCTCCTCCCAGGGCCTGCGCATGGACCCACAGAAGGTACAGGCGGTTGCGCAGTGGCCACTACCAAAGACCCTGAAGCAGCTGCAGAGTTTCCTGGGGTTCTGCAACTTCTACCGCCGGTTTATCCGCAATTTCAGCGCCCTGGCGTCACCATTAACTTCCCTGACTAAAACAATCAATCAGCCTCGCCCTTTCCGCCTCTCCCCGGAGGCCGTTGCTGCCTTCCATGAGCTGGTCCGCCGCTTTGTAAGCGAGCCCATCCTCCTCCACCCGGACCTAACACGGCCTTTCGTTGTGGAGGTGGACGCCTCTGAGACGGGCGCGGGAGCCGTACTGTCACAACGTGGCCAGGACTCCAAACTCCATCCCTGCGCATTCTTTTCCCGGAAGTTCTCTCCTACCCAATAGAACTATGGGGTCGGGGACCGGGAACTGTTGGCGATAAAGTGGGCCCTGGAGGAGTGGCAACAGTGGCTCCTGGGTACCCCCACTCCTTTTCTAATCTGGACTGATCATCAGAACCTCATCCATATTCAGACCGCTCTCCAACTCAACCCTCGTCAGGCCCGGTGGGCCCTCTTTTTCGAACCTTATAACTTTCACATCGCCTACCGCCCCGGCTCAAAGAACCTCAAGGCGGACACCCTTTCCCGTCAACACACCCAGGATCCAAGGCCTCCTGAACCGATGTCCATCCTCCCGACCGAACGGTTCTTGGCCGCCCTGCAATGGCCCCTGGAAGCCTCCATCCGGGCGGCTCTCCCGGCTGACCCGGCGCCCCCAGAGACGCCTCCTAACCGCCTTTACGTTCCGGCCGTGTGTCGACAGGAGGCCTTGAGGTGGGGGCATAGTTCACGGCTCGCGGGACACCAAGGCCAGGCTCGTACCCTCCAGTTCCTCCGCCGGGCCCTGTGGTGGCCCTCTATGAGAAAGGACGTGCGTGAATACACCGCTGCATGCGACACTTGCTCCCGGTCTAAGTCCTCCACCCAACCTGGAGCCGGGGAATTGCAACCGCTCCCTGTGCCCAAAAGGCCGTGGTCGCACATAGGTGTGGACTTTGTCACGGGCTCCTCGCTGCCGACCACCTGGACACCATCCTCACCATCACCGACCGCTTTTCGAAAGCTGTGCACTTAGTGGCTCTGGCAGGGCTCCCCACGGCTAAGAAAACAGCGGAGCTCATCCTCGATCATGTGGTGAGGCTCCACGGATTTCCCCAGGACGTGGTGTCTGACAGAGGACCCCAGTTCATCTCACGTTTCTGGAAGGCTTTCTGTCGGTTGGTGGGCGCTTCCGCCAGTCTGTCGTCAGGCTATCATCCCCAGACTAATGGTCAGACGGAGAGAGCAAACCAGCAGCTCGGGCGTTACTTACGCTGCTTCGCCTCGTCTCAACCGTCCACCTGGCCTCGTTACCTCCTGTGGGCAGAGCTCTCACACAACCTCCAGACGTCCTCCGCCACAGGTCTATCACCCTTCGAGACCTGCTACGGATAGCCCCCTCTTTTCGACCATCAGGTGCCGGAGGTGGAGGTTCCGGCGGCTCAGGATATGGTCCGCCGCTGCCGTCTCGCTTGGATCAGGGCTCGCGCCGCCATCACCCGGGCTAATACGGAGTACTCCCGACAACATCGTCGCCGCCACCAGCGCGGCCCTGTGTTCCAGTCAGGTGACCGGGTTTGGCTTTCTACCGCTAACCTCCGGTTGCCGGCTGGTTCCAGGAAGCTGTCGCCCCGCTTTTTGGGACCCTTCCAAGTCCGAGATGTCCTCGATCCGGTCGCTTACCGGCTGTGCCTCCCTTCCACTCTTAAGGTGCACCCGGTATTCCACGTCTCACAGCTCAAGCCGGTGGTGTCGTCTCCCCTCCATCCACCTCCGGCCCGGGTGCCGACGCCCCGAGATGTCGATGGGGACCCCGTTTACACCGTACGCAAGATTCTGGACGCCCGCCGCCGGGGCCGTGGATGGTAGTATTTGGTGGACTGGCAGGGTTACGGTCCGGAGGAGAGTAGCTGGGAGCCTGCCCGCTCGTTTCTGGATCCTTCCCTGTTGGCTGATTTCTGGTCTCGTCGCCCTGGGCCTTCTGGAGCCATCCCTCGCGGGGGGGGGGGGGGGGGGGGGGGGGGGGGGGGGGGGTCCTGTCATGAACTCCTCCTCTTAACCTCCTCTGGGGGCCTGGCTGGCACTGCACTCCAGTTCCCAGCATCCCTGTCACCGACGCTTCCCGGTGACGTCATCCCGCTGAGCCTATTTAAGGACCTGTCACAGCTGAGCCGGCACTCAGTCATCATCTCACGATAGACACCAACCTATTCTAAAACGACTAAGCCTAATCTGCCAACTCTAAAGACCATCCGGGAAGAGAACTTCCCACGCTGTAATCAGTCACGACCAAATACCAGTCTCTCCGCGCCTGGGTCTCCAAGCCACACTCCAGCTCAGCCGATCGTACCTGACAGTCTGCTTTTGTAAACAATATCAGCTGAGATGGCAAACTGGAGCTATGCAGAAATGCTTCTTGCTCGTGAAATAAAATGTACGGAGCGTGGCTTCAATCGGCATAAAAAAACAAGTTATGTCTGAAAGCTAAAAAGATTTCCATGACAGTGCGTCAACAGCACAGAGACCTCCCCCACAACCCCTTTATATCGCCATCATGTCATTTTTTGTGACAAGCACGTGATCGTGCCACAATACCGCCACAGGCTGAGCCTTTACAAATGACCAAAGGCTCCCTGATGTCTCCTCAGCTTTGCAGCAAAATGGCGCTGTTGTTTTATGAAAGAGGCTAGAGACTGCACTGAACTAAAGTAGCACTAAACAGTTAAAGATGGATATATATTCTCTTTTTGATAGATGGGAAAATGAGCCAGCCACTTTGTCGCAAACGTTTTGACCAAAGCTGAAAAACTTTTGGAAGTCCACATTGAAATGTATTTTTGATGATATTTGTACAACCTGATACCAAAATCTCTATCTGGCACGTCATCCTCATTTCATTTATAACAAGATCATTGTAGCTTTTACAACTCTGTTAGCTCTAACACAAATGCTGTGAAGTCACCTCCAACCATCAAGATGTTTTATTATTTTTGCCTTTTACATAATTTGACCATGGAAAAAAAACTATGTTGTTAAGGGTTTCACCCTTAAATTATTTTTATATCTAGCAACTAGTTTTAGATCAAATTTAAAGGGTGGATCCTGGCTTGTTCATGCATATTTAGGAAACAAATATTCACAATTTTATTCTGTCCTCATAGTCAGTCACATTAAACGGTCCTGAAAATGATACAGAGTAAATCCAGTTAGGACTCGATTATAAATCAATTTTAAAAGATTAAACCCGAATGTATTTAAAATTTAGCCTTCAAAATGAAAGCTGCAGCTGCCACTCTGGGCTAGCGGTGGCAGTGATGCGCCACCTCGTTCCTTGCCAACCACTGACATCCTAGCCTAGTGAACTAGACCAAATTCTTGCTTTGCAAAGTTTGGTCCGAGAGCGCTCCGTTGGAACCTCTGCAGCTCCTAGCAGCATTCTGGCTGGCCAATCACAGCTCTCTAGAAAACACCTAGAGAGCTGTGATTGGTCCATAATGGTCGGCCAATCATAGTGCTCTATCTGCTTCGTGAACCAATCATAGCGCTTTATCCTCTTTGTGGGCCAGTCAGGGCCCTCTATTTGTCTGGTGGGCGGGATGATGCAACAGAGGGAAACAAGATGGCGACAGCTTGTTTGAAACGTCTTTTACATTAATTGTGGACTATTTGGACTTGGGCCTTGTTAGAGTCAGGAGCAGATGGATGTATTCAAGTTCTTTTTTTAGAAAAAAGGATGTTTTGCCTTCTTCAACTGCCTCGTTTACCGTCATCTGTTGCGGTGAGTATGTCGCGTTGTTCATTGTCCGGTCGCATGACAACAGTAGAACCTGCCCCACGACCAAGAGCCGTCAATGGAGCGTTGCCAGACTAAATAATTAATATATTTATTTAGTCTGGCTTGCCAGGCTACTAACATCCATCACAGAAGAAGAAAACGCTTAAGAAGAAGACAAAGAAGAAGCAGCAGTCAGTGAGTGTGGCGGTTTGTGGAACAGCCCTCTGATCTGAGTTGAGTCTTAAAATATTAATGTAACATTTTCTATCCAAAGGATGCTAAAAATAATCAACATTGTTTGCTACAGATTTAGTGTCTCGGTGAGACATCCCTGGCTAAATAAAGTTTATAAGTAAAAGACTAACTGTAGCAGTTACCTTATCAGCATCCAGAGTGTTTCCCGGTTCCTTGATGAGAACACTCTGATCGACGGCACTGACACCACACAGAGAATCTGGCTGGGCAGTCAGCTTCATTTTGGCTTCTTCTCCGGGTACAGCTGGGGATGGAGAAATCTCCAGCAACACCTGAAACGCATATTAAAAACACGCCTGAGGCCACCTGCACTGTAGAGACAGCAAAACAACTAAAAAATATGGCATCACGTCTTTCCGGAACTGCGCTGCTCTGGGTGGCTGCATGTTGGAGTAGCTCTGTTGACTATGTGTACGTTTTGCCTTTTCTTGGGCATTTTTTCTTCTAGTTTCTCAAGAAAAACTGTATTTTTTTGGACATTTTACTTTTCTGTTTCTGGTGCTGTGAAGCTTGGAGGATTTTTACTGCTATTTTTTAGCTTTTTTCACTTTTTGAGCATTTGTTATGATACGTAACCATGGCAACAAGCTGGTTTACAATCGGGAGCAGCTGATTAACATTGGAAAGGCTGAAATAATACCTCAACTGAAGCCACAAATCCCAAATGAGCTAAAACTCAAGAAGCGTGGGTGCAGAGCGGGAGCAAAACGGAGACAGAGAAAGAGGAAATTCAAACCATCTCTTCCATCGATCATAACGGGCAATGTGAGATCACCGGCCAACAAGATGGAGGAACTCCAAGCCCTTTCAAGGACTCAGCCAGAGTTTCGGCAGTTTCGGAACCGCTGGAGGAGATAATGCAAAGAAGGATTCTCCAGAGAATCGAGAAAATGATGGACAACCCTGAGCATTCTCTTCACAAGACTGTCCGACAACGGAAGAGTGTCTTCAGTCAGAGGCTTCTTCAGTTTGGCTGCAACACTGACCGCTACTGGAGATCCTTCCTGCCAACAGCCATTGTAATATACAACAACTCTTTGATGACTTGATTACTATTATTATTCTGAGCTACTACAGCAATCAGTTTCCCTCTGGGATTAATAAAGTATTTTTGAATTGAATACAACCGATCTGCTGTGTGGGGTACGCACACAGTTTTTTCATTACTTATAATCAGTCTGATGTGGAGTGTGGTATCTAATCTGTATGAACGTTAATAGCCACGGCATGTAACGTATAATACTGCAGGCATTAGTTAGATTTCAAAGCCCCTGTTTCTATAGGTTATTTCACAGAGGACTAATGAGCCAAACTTTAATGACAGCCCAGTGATTATTCCACCGCTTCTCTTGGAAACAGATGATGCCACTTCATTTCATTCTTACCTTGTTGCTGAAACATTTCTCGGTATCAAAGTCAGCGCTGTGAGCAATCACATTCTTGCTGGGGAGGACTGCATATGCCACAATCTGGACATTTGGTGCCATGTCTGGAGACACTGTCAACTTAAAGGACATCTCCCCCTGATTTACTGAAAAAGCAGTACAGCGTTTATGCATGTCAGTAGTTATGATTCAAACATCTTTAATCCTCTACTATCTATATCTTTTTTAATTAGGGTTTAGAGTGGAGAAAGAGAATTTTTACACACCTGATTTATCTTCCACTTGGACCTGTTTTCTTCCTTGAATTACAATCGCTCCTCTGGACAAAACCTGTGGACATTTTACAAAAATGAAAACTTCTGCATTAAAAGTTGTTTTCATTGTGTATTCAGGCTGAGAATGTAGTACCAACCCAGAGCAGACTAGTAGTGTCCCACAGCTTCCCTGTTTGAGCGTGTGTGTGTGTGTGTGTGTGTGTGTGTGTGTGGGGGGGGGGGGGGGGGGGGGGGGGGGGGGGGTTAGTCGCCCAAACCTTTATTGGTCAAATAGAGGTTCTACATAATTTGGCATCTCAGGGGAAGAATACCGATGCCACTTCACATTTGACTTGTTTTGGGTGGGAAACCATTGTCCTGCACTGAAGACATTTTTGAACAGAAGAAGGAACACATCCAAATGTTCTCTTTTTCCTATCAACTGTGTTCACTATAAACCCTGATGGACCCTAATCGGTTAGGTACATTACAGGCTTGTCTTGAAGACTTACAAATTGGATGACTCTAAACTTTCTGCTTTTAAATTAAGACAAGATTAATGTTCTCATCTTTGGACCGGAACTTCAGTAAAGGAAATAGCTTAGTCGATCACCTGATCTTAATGGCATCAAATTAGCCTCCGAGAACAAAGTAAAGAACCTTGGTGTTATCTTTGACCAGAACACGTCATTCAAATCCCACGTTAGACAAGTTTGTAGGATTTTCCTTCTTCTACCTCTGGAATATTGCTAAGGACACATCGTGCCGGTGGTGTATGTGTGTGTGTGTGTGTGTGTGTGTGTGTGTGTGTGTGTGTGTGTGTGTGTGTCTGCTCTGTCTTCTGGATCCCCAGTGAGTCGTGGAGGATGGCTGCTTATACTGAGCCAGGATTCTCTGGAGGTTTCATCTTATTAAAAGGGAGTTTTCCTCTCCACTGTTGCTACATGCTTGCTTAGTATGAGGATTGCTGTAAAGACTCTGACACTAGTCAGTGACTCGATGCAACCTGCTGGGTTCCTTATAGGAAACTTTTAACTGATTGGCTTAATGAACTGACCTGTACTGGAATGAGACCACTCTTGTCGTGATTTGGCACTATACAAATAAACCTGAATTGAAAATTGAATTGATCCGGGCTTAACAGATTTAAGCCATCAATTGGTGGATTCAAATGGTATAAAAATAACCTAAAATATTCTAAAACCCAATTATAGGTTGTACTGTAAAGCATGTCATGTAAAGCATGGGCATGTCATGAGAAATTACTCACCAGATACATAACATCCACAGAACCCTTGGGTTCATGTACAAAAGAATACTCAATAAACATGTCTTCTTCTTTGTCACACACAAGTGGTGAATCCCTCTGCTTCAGCTTCAGGGAGCTTACGGATTTAGTGTCAAGAGAAGGAGGTTGGGAGAGCGACACTGTGTGAGACCCCGTCTCATAGAAGGCTGTTCTAAATGGAGAATACTCAACACTTGGGGATTTGCTGACCTGTGAAGAAACAGTTCAAAGTTTACTTAATGTTTAATTTTAACCTCCTGTTAACAGTTACAGTACATATCGACATATTTTGATCTGCTATATGGGGATGGGTACCGATGTGGGTACTTTTTAAGGCACCGACTGAATTCTGTGGTACCAACCGAGGACTGATTCACATTAGGGATGCACCGATACCACTTTTTTCCAAACCGATATGATACAGATCACTGATACTTCTACCACACAAAAAAATGCAATGAATTGGAATACAGGTTTTATTTTCTTCTCTACTTTCAACAGGAAAAGATTATAAAGTAAATAGAAAATTATAATATATTAATGGAAATGATCACAAAACTAAAATATTAGGTGAACAGAAATGACAAATTACAGTGAAGCCACTTTCAGGCAGCTGCACTGGTATCGGTTAACTTTTACTGGTATCAAACCGATACCAATACCAGTATCGATATCGGTGCATCCCTAATTCACATATGAAATTGTGCCTTTTTTCGGTACCATAGTGTTTGGTATCTGTCCTTCATTAACGAAAGCTTGCCAAACCGAGATTTGCCAAGCTAGACAGCAGCGCATGTGCAAGAGCATTATGTCGTCAGTCGCTGCAAGCCAGCTATAAACAGAGCAAGCATGGTAGGAAGAACACGCTCTAAAGTTTGGGTCTACCTCACTAAATGCGATGGGTGACTGGGGAATCATGACAACATTCTAAGTGAGATATCATCATCTTAATCTGCCCCAGCATGTAAATAAAGTGTTTAAGATAACGTTAGCTTGATACGTTAGCTTCTGCAGCTAATGGTGCATTTGTTTTCTCCAAGGTACTTGGAAACTCTGACTTCTGAGTAGGAAAAGCCAGCTGTTTGAAGAACAACAGCAGAAGGAACAAAGATACACAGTAAATTTAGTTCACAGCAAAGACGCTTCAGTTTAACTTGCAGTTTATAAAACTACAAGAATGTTCATCACACAACTTGTCCACAGGGGAAAGGAGAGGATTAGTACATAGAGCTGGGCTTGGTTGATGGAGTCCACAATATTAAAATACAAACACTTGTATGGTGTCAAAGTTTGTTTCAGTTTCATTTGTAGTTTATAATACATGGTCTCCTCATCATAGTTATTCCAGAGGGCCTAGAAGAGGAATAGGAGTTCATGGAGCTGGGTTTGTATTTTTGCATCATTAAGAAACAGTTGTGGTTAAAAGTTTTCATACTGAAGAATTGAGTACAACACCACAATGATAAAATACAAGCAGTTGTATGTTATTTATCATGATATTTATCAAATATGGTTATATATGAGAAAAAAATATACATTTAATTAAAACAGATTTAATTAACTATGAAACACTCAAAAGTACCAAAAATTGGAACCATTAAGTACCGGTATTGATTCCTAGGTACTGGGAATTGGTACAGAATCGATTCAAATGTGAAAGGTACCCATCCCGACTGCTATATTGGATGAATGAAAGAGTAAGTGGATGGTCTAAAGTCAGGCTACATGTAATTATACTGGAACTGTGCTTTACTTACATAGAGGGTAGCGTCTCCACTGAATGCGTCTGTGCTAATAGAAAAGCTGGCAAATCCATCGTTGTCAGTTGTAAGATTTTGCAGCAGCAAATGTGTTGACCAAGTTTTTCTAATAAGCAGGTACAGTGGTATGTGAGGAATGGGTGTGTCATTGTGGTGAACAGCTTTTACCTGTTGAAGACACGATGAATCAGTGAAACTGTAAAAGACTGGACCTGCTTTGTCTTTCAGGTGTCCAAATGTCCACTCACTTTTCCTTCCAAATTTGATCCTAGTTCATAAATCTTGGGCGTGTCAACAAAAGACAGTTTTCCAAGAACATACGAAATCCTTATGCTCTTCTTTTGTTGATGTGAAACACCTGAATGAAAGTGTTACCATGTTATCAAACCAATGACCTTGTTTTTTATCAGGGATAGTCCCCCACCACAACCCCTTTACCACAAAAATGCAATATACAGATATTGTAATATAGGACTTACCGGTATCCTCTTCTTCTACACTGGCACTGACTTCAACTTTATCTTGCACTACCTTTTGGTCAAGTTTGGTGAAAGTTGACATTTTGAATTGAAAAGCCGCACAGCCAGCTTTGTCTGTCTAGAAAGTCAAACAACAGATATAAATCAGTGAGACATTCAAGTGATAGACACACAAGATGTAAACATCCACAACTAGCTTTAGATTATCCATCCATTTTCTAATCCCGCTTGTTGATGCAGCGTTGTGGGGAGCTGGTGCCTATCTCCAGCAGTCTTCGGGCAAACAGACAGGGTACATCCTAGAAAGGCTGCCAGGCCATCGTAAGGCTTTGGATTATATGAGACCTTAGTATAGTTTTCTTTGAAATAGGCTCCACTGACTGGCTCGGTTTGCTGCATGGGATAAACTTTTACTGTTATTTGATGATACTCAGTTATATTTATTCACCCTGATGAATCTAATGAGTTAGGTTGATTACAGGATTGATTTGAAAAAATAAAAATCTGGATGGCACTACAATTTCAGCTCTTAAATCCAGACAACACAGACATTATCATCTTTTGATCAGAACCTCTAAAAAAGAAACTGCTTAGTCAATCACCTCATTTGAACGGCAAAAAATTAGTCTCCAAGAACAAAGAAAAGAACCTTGGTGTTATCTTTGACCAGAACATGTCATTCAAATCTCACACTAAGCTGTCATGGTCTGCGTCTGCGTCTCCCCTCATGTGTCTGCTTGTGTTCTCCATCCCTCTCTAGGTTCTCCTTTTGTGTCTCCTTGTGCCCTCATGTGTCCTTGTCTGCGTCTTCCTCATGTGTCTCCTGGTGTTCTCCATTTCCCCCCAGATCTTCAGCCCTCTATGTTTCCCTCCTCAGGTATCCCCCTCCCAGGTCCTGTGCTCCCGTGGCCCCCTTTAGTCACGCCCCTGTAGTTTTTCTTTCTGTAGTGTTTTCCTTTAGTTTCAGCTTCCACCTTAGAACATTAGTTATGTTTTCTGCCCTTCTGGTCTTTGGGTTTTTCTCTTAGGTCATTTTCCTTTAGCTACAGCTGTTCATATTATTAGTCTCTCTAGTGTGTTTTTTCCACTGGTGTTTGATGTTTTTCTCCCCCCTTAGATTATTAGTTATGCTTCCTGCTCTTCTTGTCTTTAGGTTTTACTCTTAGGTCATGTTAGTTTCCTCCCTGATTAGTAATTGAGTTCACCTGGTCTCTCTCTCCCCAAACACCTGCAGTTCATCTCCCTCTCATCCTCCCCAGTGTATAAAACCCTGTCTGTGTCTCAATGTTTTGTCGGTATACAGGGTAATGAGGAAGTGGATGAGAGGGCGAAGGAGGCAAGGAGAAGGGAGAGTGTGGAGGTGGAAGTGAAGTTGGGGAAGAAAGAGGTGAAGGCTATGGTGTGGGATAGGGAAATGGGTGAGTGGCAGAGGAGGTGGAGGGACGAAAAGAGAGGGAGGTTTCTTTATGGGGTGGTGGACGATGTTCGTAACAGTTGTTTCTGTGTGGGGAAGTGTAGGAAAGTGCAATCGGTGTTGAATCGGGTTCTTTTGGGGCACACTTATTCAAATAGCACGCTTAGGTTGATGGGGAGGCACTCTACGGGTTTATGTGAGCATTGTCTGGTGGAGGAGGATGTTAATCACGTTATTTTTAATTGTCCTTTGTATGGGGACCAAAGGTTGTGGGTGATGGAGAGGTTGGGTAGGGAAGGCGGAGCACTGAATTTGAGGACTTTGTTCATTAACATAGGCTTTCTTTGGGGATTCCTTAAAGATTCAGGTCTGAAAGATAGACTGTAAACTCTGATCCACACTCCGGAACAGTAGGGGTGGTGATGCACCTTTCAGTTGGTTGCCGGCCGCCGTAAAACTCTAAGAAGAAGAAGAAGAATGTTTTGTCGGTCCATCGTTTGGTGTCAGTGTTGTTTTGTTTCTCGTCTCTAGGTTTTGTGCTCTTTAAGTGAGCTTTTGGTCTCCAGGATTTCAGGACATTGGTTTTTGGCTTCCTGCCCTATTGGAAGTTTTTGTTCTCCTTCCTAATAAAGGAATGTTTTCATTTACATCCTCATGTCATTCTGGGTGTCTGTATTTTGGGTCCAAACCTCCTCCTGGCTAACAACGTGACATAAACAGGTTTGTAGGATTTTCTTTTTCCACCTTCGGAATATTGCTAAGATTAGAAGCATCCTTTCCAGGAGTGATGCTGAAAAACTAGTTCATGCATTTATTACATCAAGACTGGATTACTGTAATTCATTACTCTCAGGAAGTCCACAGAATGTAGTTAAAAGTCTTCAGCTTGTCCAAAATGCTGCAGCTAGAGTTCTGATGAGAATTAAAAAGAGAGATCATATCTCTCCTGTCTTAGCTTCCCTACATTGGCTACCTGTTAAATTCAGAATAGATTTTAAGATCCTCCTTCTCACATATAAAGCTCTTAATAATCAAGCTCCATCATACATCAGTAATCTGATTGTTCCATACGTTCCTAACCGAGCACTTCGCTCTCAGACTGCAGGTGTACTGGTGGTTCCCAGAATATCTAAAATTAGGATGGGAGGCAGATCTTTTAGTTATCAGGCTCCTCTCCTGTGGAACCAGCTCCCAGCTTTAATCCGTGAGACAGACACTTTGTCTACTTTTAAGAATAGGCTTAAAACATTTTTATTTGATAGGGCCTATGGTTAAAATCTGATGTTAGCCTAGATCTGGACAAGTGGGGGAGTAGAGGGAGGTGGAGTGTACAGTCGGTAAAGACGGCTCTCCCTTGCCCTGCCTCCAACATGCCTCCATCTAAATATGATAGATTATCCAGAGTTATCTCTGTAGTTATGCTGCTATAGGCTTAGACTGCTGGAGGACATACTGACCACTTTCCACACTTTGCAACGTTCTTCTGCTAATACTCTTTAACTGTATTATTTCCTGCTATTTGAACTGTTAACTTTATTTTCTCTATAAGTGTTTTTCACCCTAGAAGAAGCTGCAATGGTGTTCTGCTGAGCTGTGGTGGCCTCATGGAGGGGGCCATCGGCTGGTAAGCAGCTCCCAACCACTTGATAGTTTCCGTCTTCTGATAACATAAAATGTGCTACTAGTTCATCAGCTGAATTATAGATTCGTTCAGACAAAGACAATAAAATTTATCTCTTACTAAATTGAATATCTACTAAGAAATCACAATCTAACCATAGAAACACTACTTGGTAAGTACGCATGCATGCATGTGTACTTGTTTTTATATGTTAAAATAGGCCATATTTTACTTTAACCTGTAGTGTGTGGACATTTTCAAATTGTGGACACATTTTGATGCTAAGTACCCTAAAACTCGGTTTTAAAGGAATGGTGTGAATTAACTTTTAGATTAGGTTAGGGTTAGGAGAAGAACTCCATTGGATATGGTTAGGGTTAGGCATATAGTGGAATCACTAAAATGAATGGAAGTCAGTGGATGTCTACAAAAGCATATAAATGTGTGTGTGTGTGTGTGTGTGTGTGTGGGGGGGGGGGTGTTCTCTATCCCCAGTGAGTCGTGGAGGATGGCTGCTTATACTGAGCCAGGATTCTCTGGAGGTTTCTTCCTGTTAAAAAGGAGTTTTCCTCTCCACTGTCGCTGCATGCTTGCTTAGTATGAGGATTGCTGTGAAGTGCCTTGAGATGACTCTTGTTATGATTTGGCACTATATAAATAAACTTGAATTGAATTAAGAATTGTCCCCCTTTTTTTAAATTCCACAATGTATTTCTAGCTAAACAATAGTGTTAAGAGGCATGAAAAAAAAGTTTTTAGCTAATTTATTTATTTATTTTATTTTATTTATTTCAAATTGGCCATTGTGGCTTTAACCAGAATAGGGGCCTTGATCCTGTTTAAGATATCCATTATAAAATCAAATATTGAATGAAGTGTGTTCAGTTCCGCAAAGTTAGGTGGCAACACGTGCCCTTTTATGTTTCTATGTGTTTTTAATGCATTCCAGTTTGACTAGAGTGTCACACAAGCAGTAAAAAATCTTGGCAAGAGTGAAGCAGATGGACGTAAAGCAGGATGTGCACAATGGCCGAAGAAATGGATAACACTGCCGCAGTACATTAGATTTGGTATGTACTGTACTATCTGATTGTGTTACACATCAGACTTGTGCAGAGGCTTGTGGCATTGATGTTATCAGAAAGCCACTTCCGTGGGTTTGTCACTTCCAGTTGGAGGCCAGGCCATCATAGCTCAACTAATTGGGAGAAATATGGTTTTCTAATTGGATTCTCTGGGAATCTTAGCTTGATTTGTTTTTGTCTTACTGGATGTGAATGGGACCTGGGTCCCAACTAGGGCTGCTCTATTATGGCAAAAATAATAATCACGATTATTGTGACTGAAATTGAGATCTCGATTATTTAAGACAATTTTTCAATTAATGTTGATTTTATTTGTTTTTATTCAGTCATAAAATTGCTCAGGGCACAATCAGGACCAAAATAAATAAGAAACAAGGTGATCACTAAAATATATCCTGATTCCAAGTGTAAAAAGACCAATATACTTATAGCTCATAGTCTATGACCCAAGGGCTATAGACCTTGGTTTAACTCATTTAAGCCTAACCAGTACAGACCCAAATAACGTTATCTTGCAAATACTGACAGCAAGAATTATACAGTGGCATTTATAACAAATACATGCAAATTGATGTTCACAAAATGTTGCATAACATTTACTGAGTCGTGTCAAGGTGCTGTAGGAGAGTGCACTAGCATCGTGTCCTCAGTGCGATTAGTTATTTGAGTGAGGAACTTATTTCTATCTATTTCTACCTTATTTATAAACTATTTATTTACAAGTCATTCAGTTAATGTAATAATTGTCCCAACCACAGCTGCACCCCCCAACCCGGTTTCGCAGCAATCATGGGCAAGCTGCACGTGTGTTTAGCACGCCACACGCGCACATTTAGCTGTTTTTAGTGGCTCAGGAGTCCGCAGGTGCGGTGTGTGTCACTCACTCTGGTTAATCCAACAGGGAGCCGGCTCCGAGAGCTGTTTCTGTAGCGACTGACACGTCACTACATCATTCCCTTTCCTAATGTCCTGAAGAACGGTCCGGAGCGCAGGCGGAGTGTTTAGCTAACCTGCAGGAAATGTCAACGACAGTTACCCCGGGGACACACTGGCCGCGGAAGCGCCGCGAAAATGGGACCGCCTTCATTCGGCGCCCTTGTTAAGCTATTCTATAGACCACATGGGCCGCCGAAGCGCTGCGAATCGCCTCGCGCCGGCGCGCGCCGGCGCTCCAGCCCGCGCCGTGCAGCGATCATTTCGGCGTTGGCTCTATTTTTTTCGCGAGCCGCGGGTGAATCGCGTCAATTCTGGCAGGAAGTCAAACGTAGACATAAGAGGCAGGCCGGTAAAGTTAACAAAATAAAGCATTTCAAAATAAAATTCCGCAATAGTCAAATGTGTTCGTAAAAAGACACTACAGAAAAACCACACGAACACGCACACACATACACACACATCGACTTTAAATGAATTATGGAAGTTGAGAAACACAAGGAGCTGTACGACCCCCGAAAAACACGGTTATTTACGTACCCATGTCGGAAGAAACTGCTAGGATACAGCTGCAGAATTGGAGCGGGTTCCAAGAGATTCAACTGGCAGAAACAACTCATACCATAGGTTCACACACACACACACGCACGCGCGCGCGCACACACACACACACACACACGCACACGCACACACGCACACACACACACACGTACAAACACTCAAACGTAGAGGAAAAGAGCTGAGAATTGGCAGAGAGGAAATGGAGGACACCAAGTGTTTAAAAGAAAAACTACAGCTGAGCCGAGGCGCGCCTCGACTGGGGCGTGTCTGATCTGAACTGAGGAGCGGCGAGCAGCGGCCGAATTTCGTGAGCGATTCGCTTCGCGGCGCTTCCGCTGCCGGTGTGTCCCCGGCGTTATCCAGAAAGTAGCTTTTGGGTTACCAGAGATGTTTCTCAGGTGTTCGCTAGGTACTTTTAAGATATAAAAATTCAAGAAGGCAGTCTGAAAAGCTGTTAGCAATAGCATCAAAGTCGCTAAGTTGGCAACACTGTGGGAGGAGCGCTTCATTTGCAACTCAGGGCAGCGCAAGTGGGAGGAGCAAATAATCGGCTAGTTTTGTTTTTATAATCGTTCAAAACTCAGATCGTAATTGTGATTAAAATTCTATTAATTGAGCAGCCCTAGTCCCAACACTGTCACGTCATTCATGAATGGTTGTGTTGTGTTGGATAGTGGCAGCAATTATGAAGGCCTGTGTTTGCCAGGGCTGGCAGGAAGTCATGCTTCTAACAATAAAGAGTTGGACTCCACCAACACCACCCTTTGTCACTGATTCTGTTCATAACTTTTGTGGACATGACTTCTGGGTGTAACCAAGGTGTTGAGGGGATCCGTTTTGGTGGCCTGAGGATCAGGTCTCTGCTTTTTGAAGATGTGGTCCTGTTGGCTTCATCACACTGTAACCGCTAGCTGTGACTTAGAGTGGTTCATCTGGGAGGGGCTCAGAGTTGATCCACTGCTCCTCCTCATTGAGAGGAGCCAATTGAGGTGGCTAGGACATCTAGTTAGGATGCCTCCTGGACGCCTCCCTGGTGTGGTTTTACAGGCACATACAACCGGGAGGAGACCTAATGGGGGATCCAGGACACACTGGAGGGACAATGTTTCTCTGCTGACCTGGGAACTCCTTCCCCAGAGGAGCTGGCCCAAGTGGCTGGGGAGAGGGACGTTTGGGCCTCTCTGCTTAGGCTGCTGCCCCAACCACCTGACCACACACAAGCGGAGGAAAATGGATGAATGGATGGATGTTTGCCAGGGACTGTAGTCATAATAGCACCTGAAAGCATTTTCCACCAGAGGTATGTTCACCTCATGGGCTAGGTTCAGGAGAATTCCTGTGGAGGAGATCTGTGCATTCTTGATTCTACTGTTCAGACATGACAGCATGATCTCTGGCCCTTGTGGCATGGACCTTCATTCCTGCAGATGTTGAACTGTCATTGGGCACATGAAAGCTGGAAGTGGGCTATAGTTCCTTTAGATCGGAGTTGAGAACACTTGTTTACTACAGATTAGCCACCCAATGGTATCCCAGGTGGCTGCATTATAATGTGGAAGACACAAGAGTGAGAAGATGTTGGGCTGGGATGCTTATAAACGGGGATGACGTTCCCATGGTAGACAGAGAAACCGGTCTGGGTGTTAGTGGAGTTTAGACGGGATCCGGATCATGCAAAACTAATGGTGTTGCCAGTGTTTATAAATGACCTCAATATTTACTGTTAGTTCTGCTTACACCAATATTCTAGAGTAAATTGGTGTACCTGTACATGTTTTAGAGGTTTGTTTATGTGATAAATGTCACTGAGGGAAACCTGAGGGCCTTACTACTTAGGTGTATTTATATATCACTGTTTTACAAAGAAAATCACATCCAAATAAAACATGATTAAAAGAATAAATAAAAAATAGTAATTATTAAAACAAACAAATAAAGGTAATTAAAAACAAAAAGGGCATTACACAAATGAAACATCAAGCATCGAGTGGGGTGCAAAGGTTTGGGCAGCCTTGTTAATCTAAATGATTTTCCATTATAAATCGTTGGTTTTTACTATAACAATTTCAGTGACGTATACCATATAGCACACCCACAGAGCTATTTGAGAAGTTTATAGCGTGAACAAACATTATAGGATTTACAGAAAGCGTGCAATAATTAAGGTAAATTAGGCACTGTTGTCATTTTATTGATTCCAAAATCTTTAGAAGTAATTGGTTTGGTAAGCTCCGTGACAAGTTTCCCTCTTAAATATTCTCTGAAGAGCAGCAACACGGGGTCTAAAACAACTCTCACATGAGCTGAAAACAAAGCTTGTTCAACATCATGGTTTAGGGGAAGGATACAGAAAGATGCCTCAGAGGTTTCAGCTGTCTGTTTCCACAGTTAGGAACATATTGAGGACATGGAAGACCACCGGCTCAGTTAAAGTTAAGGCTCCAAGTGGCAGAACAAGAAAAATCTCAGAGAAACAGAAGAGGAGAATGGTGAGAACGGTCAGACTCACCCACAGACCAGCACCAAAGACCTACAACGTCATCATGCTGCAGATGGTCACTGTTCATCGTGCAACTGTTTGGTGCACTTTGCACAAGGAGATGCTGCATGTGAGAGTGATGCAGAGGAATACTTTTCTCCACCCACAGCACAAACAGAGCTGCTTGAGGTCTGCTAGAGCACATTTGGACAAGCCAGCTTCATCTGGAATAAGGTGCTGCGGACTGATGAGATTAAAACTGAGTTATTTGGGCATAACAAGGGGTGTTAAGCATGCAGGAAAAAAAAAACATCTGCTACCTACAGAAAACATGGTGGTGGTTCCATCATGCTGTGGGCTGTGTGGCCAGTGCAGGGACTGGGAATATTGTTACGGTTGAGGGACGCATGGATTCCACTCATTATCAGCAGATTCTGGAGACTAATGTCCAGGAGTCTGTGACAAAGCTGAAGCTGCACCGGGGCTGGGCCTTTCAACAAGTCAACGACTCTAAACACTGCTCAACATCTAAGGCGTTCATGCAGAGGAACAAGTAGAACAATCTGGAATGGCCGTCTCAGTACCAGACCTGAATATTATTGAAAAGCTGTGGTGTGAGTTAAAGAGAGCTGTCCAGGCTCAGAGGCATCAGACCTGAATGGACTAGAGGTGTTTAGTAAAGAAGAATGGTCCAGAATACCTTCAACCAGAATCCAGACGCTACAGGGCGTGTTTAGAGGCTGTTATTTCTGCTAAAGGTGGATCTATTAAATATGGAGGTTGTTTATTATTTTGTGGTGCCCAAATTTATGCATCTGCCTAATTTAGTTTAGAAAAATATGACAGACTTTCTGTAAATCCTGTAAAGTTAGTTTCACCTCTCAATTATCGCTGTGTGTGTGTGTCCTGCATGGATGTATTTAACTGAACATTTTTATTGTAACAACCAAGCATTTATACAGGAAAATCACGAAGACCAACGAGGCTGCCCAAACGTTTGCGTCCCACTGTAATACATGATCATACGATTTATATATCTAACTACCTTCTTTGTCTGTGTGTCACATGGGTCGGTTACCCCGAGTTCTTCTGCATTCCTAGGTTGCCCATACGCACTGTAGTACTGAAGAGGTCGACACACCTTCACTGTAACACTTCCTGGCACAGACTGTCCATATGTGTACCTGGTTATATTAGAAGTAACAGGTGACTCATTTTACTCCACAAAGTAAAATATTCTTTATCATTTCAGTTACGTCAGAAAAGAACATGAACTCACTTTGCACAGATGTCTGCATCTATCTCATCCTCAGAAACACTTACTTCATCTTTTACATTTATCGTTACATCAAATTTGGGCAAAACTGAAAACAGAAGAGTAGGTTACCTTAGAGATGAGATTAGAAATGTGCAGCTTTAGCTTACGAAGGTGGTTAACATACCATACTTCTCCACCTTGAAGGAGTGAGATACTTGAGCTCCACCTGTTGACGTGATGAGTTTGTAGGATCCTTCTCGGGCCTCAGAGTTCAACGAGTAAGAAAGCTGCAATATTTTGCTGTTGGATGTTTCATTGAGCCACTGCCCAATCCTGTTTCCGTAAGGATCCTGTTCAGTTGGACACACACAGTAGAATATCAGGCATAGATGACACTGAAGAGTGGTGGAAAGAGTTACGTTGGGAGCTTGATCTTTCGTTTCTTCACCTTTAGTAAAATGTTACATTCATTTAGACCCTTTAATGCTAAACGTTCATAGTTTAAACTCAACCATAAAGAGTTTCTGTCTAAGCAAACTTGGATGCGGGGCTTTGTGCAAACAACAGCCCACTGAGAGTCAGGGATGGCTCAAATACAGAGAAATGATTTACCCAAGGGGATCAACAACGTATTAACTAATAACTAATACTAGTAGTTGTTGTTTAATGAATATTTCCTTCTACTCTACAGTTTAGCATTTCACCATAATACAAATGTCAAATACAGCATGCATTAGTAGGGCCAAGGGCATCGGGCTGCTTAAGAAATAACACACTGAACAAAAATGTTTGTGTTTTCTTACCTCAAGTTCGATTAGGTTGTACTGTGAAGGAGAAAGAGGAACATTTAAGAATAGGACAAACTGTTATTAAATGAATATTTTCAATATTTGAAAGAGAAACAGAAGTCAAATATTTATTCTAATGATCCTTCAGCAGAAGTATTTACATTACCACTAAAAGGTAAAGACTAAGAAAGTCAATGTTATTTACGTAGCACTCATCACAGACAGAGAATCACAAAGTGCTTCACTGATCAAAAGCAAAACAAATCATAAAGTAAAATCATAATAATCCTAAAACACAAATAAATTAAAATAAGAAAAACAAAGTCATAAAATGTTAAAATACCATAAAACAAATGAAAGATGATTACAAATACAAGTTAAATTAAAGCTGCAAGCAGCGTCGTTCGGCTCTCGCAGCTCCGCGCTGCTCCGGCCTGGACGGCAGTCTGGTGCACCCGGGCACGTCCGCTGAACATAAACATCGACCACCCCGACACCAGAAACCACGAACGGTCTTCTCATCTGCACCTCACCCTGACTCTGAGCCCACCATTCAATTACACGTCTCACCACTAGGGGATACTCTATTTTTACCACACTGGTGGTGTGATGACACAGACTACGTTTCATGCAATTCTGACCAAGTTTTTTTGAAGTTATTGGAGGTTAAAGTTATCTAAGGGGCGCTGTGACCAACTACAGAAAAATCCCATTGAGGTCAGCTTTGGTTGACAAAGATGGTGTTCTGTTATTTTGGCATCAATCAGACGTTGTGTGTGTTATCTAGAGCCAGTGAGCCGAAAAGGGGTGGAGCTACAGGGGTTTGAACCAACAACCACATCAATGTGTTTGGTGCTGTCACATGAAGACACAAGCCAAGTTTAATGCCATTGTGACCTTGAATTAGGAAGTAATTAAGTCTTAATCTTATCTAGGGGGCGCTGTGACCAATTACAAAAAAATCCCAATGAGGTCTTAGGGAGTCAAAGATGGTTTTGTGGTAGTTTGGCATCAATCAGACGTTGCGTTTTCTTTCTAGAGCCAAAGAGCTGAAAGGGGGCGGAGCTAAAGGGATTTGAATCAACAACCACATTAATGTGTTTGGTGCAGTCATGTGATGTCACAAGCCAAGAATAATGCCATTCTGAACCTTGTCTTTAGAAGTTGATAAAGTTTGAACCCATCTAGGGGGCGCTGTGACCATTTACAACTAAATCCCATAGAGGTCATCTTTGGTCATCAAAGATGGTTTTCTGTTAATTTGGCATCAATCAAACATTGCATGGGTCATCTAGAGACAAAAGGCTGTAAGTGGGCGGAGTTAAAGTGATTTGATTGAGTGAGCACATACATGTGTTGATTGCAGTTGCGTGATGACTCCCACCATGTTTGATATAGTTTGGAGCTTTTTTGTAGAAGTTACAAAAGGTTTTATTGTATCTAGGGGACGGTGTCCCAAATTTAGGAAATATTCCATGAACAAGTTTGTAGGTTGACAACAATCATTTGTGTGCAGTTTGGTGTGAATGGCATCATGCATGTGTTATTCAGGGCCTAATATCTGTCAGGGGCGGAGCTACGATATCAACCAGTGAACAAAGGACTGTGTTGGGTGCCTTTGTGTGATGGCATATAGCAAGTTTGGTGCAGCTGTGACCTCGTCTGTATGAGTTATTACAGTTTTAAAGGTATGTAGGGGGTGCTGTGGTGCTATTATACAACGTTCACCAACCATTTGTGCGTCATTGGCTAAAGGGCATGACTGTTGATTGCCATGTTCAGTCTCGTGCAGATCGGATGCTGTTTGTGGAAGTTACAGTCAAACGTAAGGTCACGGCGTCACTCCAGAATTTGCCATGGCATCAAAGCCCCTCCATTTCTGGAAAGCTATCAGAACTGAATGGTCATTACAACATCATGAAGTCAGTGACCTTAGTGTCATGTTGACTAAATTAGAGGGGACAAATATGGGCATTTCACCATAAAACAATCGACTTCCTGTTGTCAAGGGGCGGGGCTTAGGTGATGTCAGCTGTCCACATTGTCACTGTCTTGAGATGTGGTCAGTGATCACACAGACAAAGTTTGACATGGATCTGATCATGCACATGGGAGTTATTACGTCAAGTAATGTAATGGCGAAAGGTCAAAGTTTGAGGCTTAGCCACACCCACACCTTTCAACTTTAGAAAAATCCGACAGTTGAATTTTTTTTCCTATGTCTTAAGAGTATATAGCAGAAGTTTGAAGGCAATTGGTGAAAAGAGCGATGGGGCATCACTCTCCAAACTACGTGTGCGAAAACCACTAAATTAAGTTCTTGGACCAAAATGGCCAACCTCCTGTGCGACTTTGCGCTTGGCTCCAAGAGACTTTTTTGTAGGTCCTGAGACACCACATTAGTGTACCAAATTTTGTAATCTTCAGTCAAAGAATGGCTTGGGGCTGACAGTTTTAATGGTCCTAGGGGGCGCTATTTCTGAAAATAGGCCACGCCCACAAACATATCACGTCGATTTATATTGGTGGTCAGACTAGGATCACTCACCAGATAATTCGTAGTGATATCACGATAACTGAGGAAATGAGAGGCAAACATATTTCCATGGAGTGATGGAGAATTTTGCCATGCTCCCAAAGCCCCGCCTTTTTTTTAAAACCTGCCAGTACTGGAGACTAAGTGACCTCAAGTTGTCTACTGCTATTTGCCAGAGATTCCTGGTGATTGGGTGAAAGGAGTCCAGTAAGGAGCTGTGAAAAAAAGAGTAGCATGGCAACAGGTCAAAGTTTGAGGCTTAGCCACGCCCACACCTTTCAACCTTTGAAAAATCTGACAGTTGAATTTCTCCCCCTATGTCTTAAGAGTCTATAGCAGAAGTTTGAAGGCGATTGGTAAAAAGGACGATGGGACATCACTTTCCAAATGACATGTGCGAAAACCACTAAATCGAGTACTTGGACCAAAATGGCCAACTTCCTGTGCGACATTAACCTTGGCTCCAAGAGACTTTTTTGTAGGTCCCAAGGCACTACATTAGTGTACCAAATTTCGTAGTTCTCAATTAAAACACAGCTTGGGGCTGACAGTTTTAATGGTTGTGGGGGTGGGGGTGGGGGTGGGGGTGGGGGGTTGCGCTATTTCAGAAAATAGGCCACGCCCACCAACCTATCACGTTCATTTCTATTGGGGGATGTCTGCAAAAACAAAGTCTGGGTCACAGAAAAGAAAAGAAAGAAAGGAGAAAGAGGACAGGCAGGAGAGGGCGTCAGTTTGTTACAGTTTTTCTCAAAGAAAGGTGGGTTTAGTTAGTGAGGGGTTAAATTCAACCTGTTAGCTAGCTCTGATATCCACAGTGAGAGGAACTGTGTTTCATCTAATTATGGTAAATGGGTTGTTGCCCTTGTCCCTACCAGAATCAGCAGCTGATGATATGTCAGCAGGTGTCCCCTCACAACCCAATGAACCTCAAGAAAGTGAGCAATGTGTTAGCTAGCAGCCTCATTTAAGGGGATCTGTGGGAATCACTTAAGGCTCTCTTCTCTATCAGTACTATTACAAAGGAATATAAAAAGGCTATTTTTGGTGATAAACACATTGTTTTTCCACATAATGATAATTATATATATCAATCAGTAAAAATTTATAGATTGTTTTGAATCTATACATTTTTACTACAGATAGAGCGACAGCAGGGACAACCAATCATACGTTAGCACGATGCGGCAGAGCCAATCAGTGAGCTTGTGGGCGGGTCCAAGGGAAAATAGGCTTCAGCTTGAGGCGGCCGCCTCTGCATGGTCCTAGTGCCTGATATGTATCACAGTCTTGACCCTTTGCACCGACGTCACCTAATCACATGGGTCCACCATGGTGGACGGCAAAAGCATGTAAACAGTGAGCGACACGAGTACTAAAAGAAGGGAAAAGTAGAGCCTGACATTGCTGTTGCAATCAAAACAAAAACAACTCTTCCAGTATTGCTTCAACTAGTTCATGCCCAGTTCAGTTATCAGAGGAAGTAGCGCATCTAGCGGGGGCTCATAGAGAGCGTTACGCTAACTAGCTTACCAACGTTAGCTTACGTTCTCTCTGCAGCTGTTCACCGATGTAAACATGTTGCTGACTTAGCCTAAATTCCCCCCTCTGGATTTATAACTTTATGTTGTAAACAGTGTTTCACTTTACACCAAAGCTGATTGTTAAAAAGTCCGGATCCCTACCAGCTTCTGTTGCTGTGGTGTTACCGGGTCCAGCTGCTGCTCTCACACCGGAATGAGAAGATCTCTGAACGCCGACGCTCATATAAATAAATAACGTAATTTTAACACACGTGATCATACATCGCAGCTTTAATATAGTTAATAATTGTCTCGCTTTACACTAGAGTGGACGGAGCGCAGCCTCCGTGGTGAAATACCCATCCATCAGGATTATCAATAACTAGTATAAACACATCACATGTATCCCTGTCCCCGTCTTCCTCGTGAAATAAATGAACGTTAATCTTACCCGGTAAAAACATGTTTGCTGCAAATCTGAGGCCTGCTAGTCCGCTTGATTGATTGATGCTGCAGCTTACCTCCGTCCTCAGTCTCCATCAGAGTTATTAAAAAAAAACGAGTTGAGTTTACGTCCTTGTCTCTTAGTGCAGCCGACCACGCAGCAATCTAAAACCATTTTACTGTCAAATCAACTAAATAAAAGCGATAAAAGGCTACAAACTGGCTTGTTTTGACTACCTTCACTGGAGTTTCTACGGGTGTAAACGGTCTTTTTTTCTGTCCATCATGGCGAAGGGAGCGGTCACATGAGTGGCGTGACGTCACGTGCAAAGGGTCAATAACGGTTTTGAACGGTAAAATCTGACGAAAGACCGGAGAAAGGGCACTTTAGCCACTTCGGACAAAAGGGGCAGGTGCTCAAGCAAGCAAGCCTGGAAACGCGCGGATTCTTCCTGATGTAAGAGTTGAGTCTCCGCGTTGTTTTGGTAGTTTTGGCGTCAACATCATCCTAGCGTGCAACATTCTGTGAATGA